CGCTGTAAGTTAGTAAAATAGTAACGGTTATCGACGTTTTATCGTTATCTACACTGTGTAGATATCATGTTATATTGGTGATCCACAAAATATTGTGACAAATCAAAAAAAAATTACAAAACTATTGTTATTTGTTTTATAATTTTATAAAATAATCTACACAAAAAGTGTGTTTAAAAATATTCATGGGATGCATTTGCATACCCTTGCATCCCACAAATGACGCCACTGTGCGAGGGGTTTAAGTTCAATGTCCAATTATAATAACGATAATAATAACATTATATTTATGTGACACGTGGTAATTGGCGGATGCGCAATTAATATATAATATTAATAATTGGTACGTTGGATATATTATGTATGTATGGTGGTGGCAGAGGTGACGGTGGTGTAGGCAGTCGTGGTGATGTAACGACGATAATAATATAATACACAACGATAACAATAATAACGTCGTATCGAGAAAGTCACTGATGGTGGGGACGTGGTCGTTTGCAACGCAGAAAACGAGTTCAGAGAGAATATAGTGGCTGGCGGCGGCAAAGGCCGTCGCGGGAAAGCGGAGACCACGCGATTTATTATTATTCGCGCCTCGTCTCACCCGTCCACCCGCCAACCCGACGGTTGGTCGTCTGCCGCCGAGAGCCGGCGGTGATGCGCAAAACACCCTCCCCCGCCCAACCAACGGGATACAGCGGTGGTATAACGGGACGAGATTGCAAAATATATACGCTTGACGTGTACATACACACACACACACAAACGTAAATACATATATATATATGCTGCCTCACTGCAGATAAAAAGGCATCGGTGGGGAAATGTTGGTCGGCGGAGAGGGTAGTTACGACCAGATGGCCGACGGAGGAGAGGACAGTTTCTGCTCTCGTCAGGACAACAGAGGAGAGGTAGCCGCCGCTATTATCACCCCTCGCATCGTCGAGCGAGCTGGTGGTATGGCGCTTAAATACCACCGCCGTCGCTCACCCGGCCAAACGCCCTCCTCCGACCCATCTTCACCACTGGCCCACTACCGACCCCCTACCGCTTCATTTCAGACCAGCCGGGCAAAAAGTGTACGTACACAGAAACGGTGGCGACAATTGTTGTTGTCGTTGTGTGCGGCGGAACAGACAGAGGTGCAGGAAACAACGGATACGGTGAAGGGAGGGAATAGGGCTGAAATCACACGCGGGCCACACCCTCGCCTCACCAAAACACCGCTCCGGCGTCACGCTACGCGACGAGAGGCCGCGCGAAGGCTCGCTCGCAGGCTGCCAGCTCCGTGGCGACGGCGGCGGTCGACCGACTGGCCCGGGGGCCCGGGCTCGGGCCGCAGCCAAATAGCCGCGGCTGCAGCCCCGCGCCCCGCACCACTGCTAACCGACCGATCGGGTCCCGGGGATATTTTCGGCGGCACGAGTGCCGTGGCCGCTGCGCAGACGCTACTGAACGACGACGCTCCTCCTAATATACGCTGACAGTATTTTACACAGCAGCGGCAGTACGCTGCACCAGTTACACCCACCCCCGTCTACCCACGCATAACGCTAGCAAGCTGGTTAGCGTACCGCCACCGCCGCCGAGCTGCTGCTGCTTGGCTGCTGGCTGCTGCTGCCAGAGGTACTACCGTCGTTCGTTCAGTCCGCGGCCGGCCGTCGCGGCGACCGTGCACTCGCGTCGCGTACATTAAAATAAAAGTCGAATTTTAGATAATATGTGTGTAAGCACTATATTATGGTGAGCACTCGGTCTTTAATACACTTTCATAGTAATAAAACGCGCGCGTAGACTCGGCCCTTATGACCTAAAATGAAACGTCGTCCATTCAATTTTTTCGTTTTTTATTCGCGAATACACGATCCCGTGATGATGGAACACCGCCACTAAATACGTACGAGGGGGCAACACAGAGATTAATCCGTCGAATCTGCACTATAATGGTCTGAATATTCTTGTAATCGTCGTAATGTCCGTAGTATACAATATAATAATTATAATACAATTGTATTACTTATAAGTTGTATAAGTAGTTTTAAGTATGAAATGTGTCGAATACATGGTGATGGCTTATTACTAAAAATATGTACATCGTTGATACCGAGTGTCTTTTGCATTATAATGCGTAAATAAATTGTTGGCACGGATATTACGACGACAGTAATAGTATAGTTAGTAGGTAGCTATATTGTATAAATAGATCGCCTACGATGACAACAACGGTGGTTATTACTTTGAACCAAAAATATTGTACTTTTTTCATATACATGATAATATTATTACATATAAATATCGTACACGCATAATTATTATTATTATTGCTTTAATGGTCATTATAATATGTCCATTTTAATTAGTTAGGTACATTAGAAATACGTTCGTCATTAAAGCGGTACATTTGCAGAATCTTTATGGAGGTAATCGCTGTCGGCGTCAAGAGACTAAACTACTACTACTACTCCTACTACTACTACTACTACTGAGAAACGCGTGTAGCTGTAGCTGGTTGGATCTGGGCCAAATACACATGTATTAATTGAATTGTGTGCGGTAGCAGCAGCGTGCGTAAAGACAACTACAAAGTTTTTGTATGAATCACTCCGTTCCCAGTTATCGTGTGTACTCTCACACATTATTTTCTGGGGTTTACGATGCTGTTGCTGTTACTGCCGCAATCACATTTGGTCCCCTTCAACCAGCTGTAGCCGGCACGCGAAAAACTACAATTTCCACCAAAAATCATCTTACCTCAATAACTGGTGTTAGTTATTTCAGGTTAAGTTAAATTTGTGTAAAAGTATTGTAATTCTATCTCTTAAATATGTTTATTTTGTACATTTAAAAAATATGTAAATTAATGAATATTAGATATTTAGATTATTATTATGTTGTTTAATACACAAGTACACAATATGTAATATTTTATAAAAACGAATCCATGTACATTAAATTGTAATGTTTTGTAATGTATATTATTATATCAACCATGGTTATATGTATTGTCATGTTTAGATAATAGATTTGTATGAAATATTTATACCACCACCAATACATATACATAGTAGTATTTAGCAGTAGTTTTTTATGAATATAGAATATTTTTGAGCGCGCAAAACGGCGCTACCTTTGAACTTTATCTTGGCGTGTGCTGCAGAATTCGCGCTAACCTTACTCCTACATGCTGAACAACCCTCAGTATTGTTTTTTTCTGGGATGCTACACCATCACGTGACTTGTATGAAATAATAAATAATAATAGAGTTCAATTTTTGTACCGTTAGTTTGTACCACTCAAAAAAATTAATATTTGTTTCATTTCAAATTTGACTAGCATTCTTAACCAGCAGTAATAACACGCAATACCTATGAGCAGACATGTAAACGAAAATTATAGCCGTAGTATAAAACTTTAGTCGTTAGGACCTCAATAATTTTAAATGTCATGAAACGAAAACATATGCACGGTTCACGACGTAGGTGCATGCTACAAAATCTAGACATACTGAGTGTGTAATAAAAATTTTCGAAATTCCAAACTTCTAATACGCTAATGCATAAATGAATTTTTCGTAAGTTCTCGGAGAAATCGTGGTCGCCGGGATCACTGCTGTTACCGGTTGCTCGTCTCTAAGCGGTGCATCAGAAGCGTAGTCCATCGTCATGAGGCAATTATTATTATTTCGTGTAGACAGGTATACAATAATACATATAACATACCAGCCTGTTTTTAAAATTGAAGTTAATGAGTTATAGGGGCGGCGGTGTTGATCCGTAGTGACAAAACGAGAATTGGCTTACATTTATAATATTATTGTTATGCTAAACGACGACGTAAAGGTGTCACAATGGGGGGCCCTCTGGTGATCGACCGCTACGAAAGGGGGTGATTGAAATCGGTGCTTCCGTCCGCTGTTGATACAATCAACATACGATATCCAGGAGTCCCCCTTCTCCGGTCTTGACAAGTTCTTAACCACCGGTCCTTGGTCCTCACTTCCACTGTCCTCACCACCACTCCATTACAATCCCGCATCACCGAAATGCACGATCACCGTGTTCCTCACGACCACACCCACGCCCACATGGGCATCGCAATCGAATAAGATGCTGCAGGCCATGGTATATGCAACGACATAGCACCGTGGCACAGAAGCGAAATAAACAGGCTAATATTATAATATAATATGGCGAATCACGGCAGCTATATAATAATCTACTATAATCTGTCACAGTCAAACTGTCATTCTTTTTACGCCCCTCCTGGCTCCTATACTATCTTATTCGCTCTCAGTTTCATACATTTATTATAATATATATATTATAAACTCAAACGTATACCAGTCAGTGGGTGAGGGGAGGGGGTGTCTAATAGTAAGTAATAGTAGTCTGGTAGTAAATATATTATACTTATGATCCTAGCGTAACGATTATTCTCATTGTTTATACATAATGATAAACAAATACAGGTAGTAAAATGTTTTAAATGCAGGCTCTATACTAGAATACTAGATATATAAAATCATTTCTTCATACAAATTTGTAATTCAAAATAAATATAAAGTATTTATTCAAAACATAATTTATCTGGTTTGTAGATAATCTAAATTGCTGATAAAAAAAAAAAAACTGTTATTTTGAAATATTCAAATGACACATAATTTTGTTCATTACCTAGTAGGTTTGAATGCTAAACTTAGTGCATTGTAAATTTAATTTTCACTATGGACAAGTTTTTAATTCAATACGAGTAATAATTTTTCTACGTTTAAGATTTTAATTTATAAGCTGAAGTTTAACCAGGATTACTCTTATAATAAACTAAAATATCCTCCATTACTAAAAAATATCAAAACCAATTACATTAATTAAATAAGGAATCACCACCACTAGACATGAGTTTGGCTTTAACTCCTCCTCCTCTTAATTCTTACAATAGTTAACAGTGCATGTTTAGGCAAGTATGACATATGTATTAAAATGCATTATTTATCACTTACCCAGGATTACCACGTAGTGCCGCATGCTGCAGCGGGTTGAAACCATTTGTGTTGACCACCATGAGATCAGCAGGCGGTGATCCAATGGCTGGAAATCCAGGTTCTGTGTCAGCAGTTGTGACAGCACTTCCACTTGTTCCTATGGATTTGGAAGTTTCCTCAGAAGAAGAACATGCAGTGGCAGCACAACCAACGGCACCATCTTCTTGACCACCCATTATTGACGATGTCCTTTTTTCGTTTTCCACTTCGATCATAGCAGCATTTGCAACATTGTTATCCTTAGGCGTTACAGAAGTACTGGCAGCAATACTGGTTGTTAAGATAGTACTTGCTGTGTTTGAATCGTTCATTGAGGCAGAACTTGTCGTAGCCTGATCTGTAGATGGTGGCCTAGGAAATGAGCGGTCATAGGCGCGTTCGCATCCACTCAAAACATTGCTGGTCACAGCACTTGAGGGTACATTACTAATAACAAAGCCTCCACCTCCTCCTTCCAACAACATGGCTACGATGTCATCGCGTCTCCGAGATATGGCATCGTGTAGTGGTGTGTCACCTTCATTATCCTTTAGGCATAACAGATATAAACACTCTTCATTAGAATATTATGTTGTAATCTTGATTTTCATTTAACATACAATTATGGTTTATAATTTTTCCATTATTATATAAACAATCAAAAGGATGTTACAGCAAGATTCATCATATACGTCTGTTCTAAAGGACTACATATTATAAAATCATTTCCTTTAATTCTGTGGAATTTATGCAATCATCTTTGGTAAATTGTATATTGTAAAATTGTAGAAAAAGAAGTGAATTTGTGGTTGTACTACAATCATGGATATTTTGGTGTAAACCACAATAGCTTACATTTTTTTTTTTTAAATTATCAATACAGAAAATCTGACATACAGTCAGAGATGGCCAGAAGAAAGGGCAAAGTTGTGCATTTGGTAGAAATGCACTGCCTGAGAAAATATTTTTTAATAATTTAGACTTTTCAAATAAATAAAACCATATAAAAGTTCTTTCTTTGTTAATTTATTTCCACGATTATGGCTAAAATTTTGAAGTGTTAGGACTGTTGCATTTTATTACTCGCATAGATACAATCATGAATGTACTAAGATACCATACAATCAAGATTTTAATTTTACTAAAGTTGACATAATATATTAAATTAGTTATTAGTGATTATGTACCACTGATTAATATATACATATCTTGTTCAGAGAGGGTCCAAATTAAGAAAAGGTCCCAAAAATATTGTAGGCACCCCCTTTGAAAAATCATTTTTCTGATAACTTGTTTTATTAAACTGATTACCGATGTGTGAAGATTTCATATAAATGGGGGCATAGCCCACCATGGCATATCTAGACATCAAAAGTATTTTGCACCTATTGAGGTGATTTTCTGTGTACATGGGTCACATATTAAATTCTCCTTTTTGAATTTGATAAGTGATATAAAATAAAATAATTTGAACTTAATATACACTATGTTGAAAATATAGAGAACAAAATATTACCTATAGACAATTTAAATAATTTTTTAGAGTAGTCTTTTAAAATAACAACTTATTACAGTAACATAACTTACTTCAGAAAAAAAATTAAAAATTTGTATTTTGGATCTTTTTTTGGTTACTCTTTAATATAAAACCCTATACCATATAGGGAATCAGCAATTAGACTAAATTTGTATGGGTTAATCTTCTATAAAAATAATTTTAATTAGTAAATGATTAAATAACCTAAACAGATTTAATTAACTATAAAACGATTATTTTATTTTATTAAAAGCTAATGACTTTTATAATAATTTAATACTGCATTACCTGTATAAATTATAATTATTAATATAAAATAATTGTTAATTGTATTATATTAATATCAATCAATAACAACCTGCAGGTTTGGCAAGCAATTTAGGCGCAACAGAATGCGGCATACATCAGCATACCCACGGTTAACAGCGATGTGTAGGGGAGTCTGTCCTCGTTTATTACGTGCATTTATATCAGCATCAAAAACAGCGCACAGAACATGCACCACTTGTGGCTGGTTACCAAATGCAGCATGATGAATAGCACGATCACCATCTTTATCCTGCAAAATGATCAAATCCAGTGTGTTACATGTTATCAAAGAATATTTTAGTTGCTAAAATGAATTAACAAAAAAATAACTCCCACACCTGAAATTCAACATCAGCACTAAACTCTCCAATTAACACTCGACAAACATTGACATGACCATTTTGAGCAGCAGCCTGCAATGATGTGTGCCCGCTACTCACAAAATTTGTCAGTATCAACTCTTCAGCTGTGGGGGGACGAGTGTAATTACAGCACATTGCAGCTTGTCTTGGTGTTAGAACATAGCTGACCGTCATAGGCTCTTCAGATGGCTTTTGGTTCATTTGACTTAATTTCTTTTGTCTTTCCTTCTCCAAAATCCTACGACAGTTTTGGGCATCACCATTGGCTGCCGACGTCACCAGCTCACGTCCCATTGCTTCTCTCTCACGAGCTAATCTTAGTCGTCTGTCGTTTTGAGTTTCGTCTCTAATGCCTAATTAAAATATTAAACAACATACTATGAATAATTGTAAAAGGTTAAATTTTGAATAACAATTTTAAAATAAAAATAGTACTACTTAAAATCATAAAGGAAGCACATATATTTAGATTGTTCTAAAATTTAGTTTTAATTACTCATCAAAATTATTCAAAAATTAAAATAAAAATCAAGCTCTTAATTATTTAATCAATACCATCTAGTGGCCCTGCAATTGATAAATACATTTTATCAGATGAAAATATTGATTTGAAATTAACCATCAATAAATTTATCCAAATTTAACCCAATAAAAGCCATGAAAATTAGTGATATTTTACATTTTATCTCTCAAATCAACAATATATATTACATTATAATTTGTTTATATTAATTAAGATGATAACCTACAGTTAATGATTAAATAAACAGGAAAATATTATTTTATTAATACATAACATTTAAATAAATTTAAAAATTATAACATGTAACAATTTATTCATTCCTTTAAGCTAAGCTAGTATGTAAGTAAATTATTAGTTTACTCTGGTCCGTCCATTTCTTCTTTGTAATTAATATATTAATACTGGGTTGCATAAACAATACTAAATTTTATTAAACCATTAAATTAACCGTTAATTTTTCATGTAAGTTAGCATAAGTGTTATACTCTGTCTAGCAAGAGAAAGTAACTCGCTCGAGCATCTAAATGAACGAAGGTTCTAAGGTATAAACTGTCCCACCCCAGTGGTGGGATACCTGAACGTGTATACATTGGCAGTGACAGACTTCAACATATAAACATACTACTCCCAAGTGGTGGGAATGCGCAAAACACTACGACTTTTGGTTGCCACCATGTTGCCCTCTCTCTTTGGGCAGAGTTTAGTTGTAAAATAATTGTGCAATATTTTGTAATTTTTCACCCATTGCCGTATATTTTAATATATTATTATATTTTGATTCCATTTTGATAATTTGATTTTGCATCATATGTTTTTAATTCAATAACTCCATCATCAATATTACATTATACATGTGAACACACACCTTCATTGAATTCCACAGTTCCATTTGCATTCAGAAGGGTAACCGCTCGTGGATTATATGTCCACGATGTGTTGCATACAACTATCTTAAGGTCACCATCATCATACACTTGTTGCACATAGCCAACTTCACCCAAAGTCTAGAAAGTAAAATAATTATTTTGTATTATATTACATGTAAATTAATATTATAATTAGATGATATCTTCATCAGAGTATCATGATACATTACAACATCATACCATAGACATGGCATCAGCCCATTCGCCATGGCCTTTTTGCAATCGACGTACAAATTCCACATCACTAGAAATCTTTACAGTTGATCCTACTCTGATAACCTGGTCATCATGTGATGAAGTTGCAGCTGAATTGGAACTGCCTGCCACTGGATTATCACTAAGTCCGACAACTTTTGTAAGGACAGCGGCGTTAAATGTCCACCTGTTGCCACTTGGATATAGAACAACAACGTCATGATCTTCATCAATACCAACCACCGATCCAATAGAAGCACTCTCTATAACTCCGCCTCCTAAACATTCTTCATACATGCCATCTGTCCAGCCACCATGATCTTGTTGCATAGCTCGCACAACGTCCAATTCCAAATCAACTCTCACCTAACAATTTTATTTAATAGTTAAAACTATTTTGTATAATTACAGTCGCACAATGAAATACTAAAAAATAAACGTGGACAAATTCTTCTTACCCGATCACCAATCTCTAGCTGTTGGTATTGTAGTTGGTTGTGTAGATGATTTAAACTTAACGCTCCTTGCTTGTGGTCATTCCGTTGTTGATGCTGGTGTTGGCCTAACAATGGCAGGTGGTCTCTGTACACGGTTGTAGATCCTTTAGATGGAGACACACATTTTAAATCGGACTAAAACAAAAAGTTAAGAAATATGTAAAAGTGTTAAAATATAATTTACAAAATAGATATGATTTGATGTTGTTTTTTTTGCTAATAAATTACATACCATTCCTTCAAATCCGACGCGGTACAAATTCTTGACACACCCAGCTGTATTACCATTAATATCCCATTGGACATAGGCGGCAGAACGAACACTGCCTGTCATAGCAGACCAGTCTTGAATTTCACACACTTTTCCACGTTTAACGATTGTTTGAGAGACAGCATTGTTTAAACCTCTCTGGCTAACAGATCCTCCATCTTGATCATCCCATTGCCAGTCAACACCACGCACAACGCGTGAACCAGGAAATATACCACGCAATGTTATTTTCTTAGATTTTTTCCTTTGGTCTAAAATAACTGGATTTTCACCAAGACTTCGAGGGTCTTTTAATAATTCTTTTGGTATAGGTTGTTGGATCAATATAAACCTATGTCGAACATTGTGTTTGTCACTATGATAACACATAAAGCACAGGTCTACAGAACTATCACTTGAAACTTCATTGCCTGGACAGTTCATACATTTCCAACGATGTCCAATGATAGGCGTTTGCTTACATGCATTGCACACAACTCCTTCATGCTTAGTGTGTCCTATGAACAAAAGAAAATTTAAGAATTGAATATTTTTGATACAACAATAAAAAATACATAATATAAAAATAGTGAAAGAAATTTTAATCAAAATTTGGTTTTTAAATATATATATTAATAACAAAGTATTTTTATACCTTAATAATGCTAGCCTAAAATTTACTTCATTTACTAGTATTCAAATTAAAAAAGCATAGTAATAGAAATTTTAAGTTCAAATATATATGGAATTGGATATTTAAACAGAAAAAAATTGTAGTTTTTTTTGTAATTAAAAAATATTATACAACTAAGCAATTAATAATTACTTAGGAAGTGATAAACTAGTACCATACATATTTAGATTATTAAAGAAACTATAAATAATATTTATTAATGAAAATGTATTAATCAAGACTTAAAACTATCAAATAAATAAAGATGCAGAAAATCATACTTAGAATAAATGATTACCTTTAAACAATTTTGAAATTTGGCTTTCAAATAACACAAGCCTTTTATATAATATACCTAAACATACCGTTAGACACAAATAAAAAATGATGCATATATACCTAACCTTTTAAAAATAACCTAACTTCACATCAATTTTGTTTTAGATGAAATATAAAGAATTACAATTTACAATACTACACTGTAAATACATAACCTCAAATGACTTCAAATGTATTCATTTATAAATTAGTACCTTTAAGAATAGGATCTAATGGAACGAAGTTCCACTTTAAATAATTAAATAATTTTTCTAAAAATAAAAAAGGTTATAGTAGGTACCTACATAAACCTCATTATGAGTTTAAAAGAAGCAAGTTGGGTTTTTGTTTAAATAAACTTTATGAATTTTACAATATAATTTAATGACTACAATTAAATTTAAAAATAATAATTAATTAGGTAGGTACTTAAAATTCACATATACCAATGTTTATTGTATTTGAAAAAATTTAAAACTTTTTTACCTCCATAAAATTGATTATTAACAAGTAAGTGTAATTTGACTAAATACAAATACAATAAAATAAAAATACATAACTATCAACTTTTGTAGTTTAAATATTGATTTTTCCTAAAAGACATAAGTACAAAATAACATATTCAGCAAATGTTTAAAATGTAAAGTGTATTTATAAAAACAATATTTTACCAGTTGGACCACTGTCATAAACACGCAAATCATATTGACCGGAACATCTGTAATTGGCCGCTATTCCGTTGTCCCAAACTACGACAACTTCTTCGTGAGACTCAAAACTCCTGACTGTTCCTAAAAAGCCTTCTCCGCCATCCTTTAATATACAATACATAAATAACATTTAATTATAAAAATGTATTGTTGGTATCTCCCAACTATATGACTCTTTGATTAGATTATATGCAAAACTGGGGATAATTCGATTTAAAATTACCTGCTTGCTCCATTTCCAGCTAGGACCGCGTATGACACGGGATCCTACAAGATTCAACAATGTCGGGCACACCACTGACATCGCACAAGTCCAAATCAGACAACAAAACTATCTAAATTAATCGCAACTGTTTAAGCTACCATACTGCCTTACTGAGACAGTTCAACGATGAACGGAACGTTCGACAAGTGTTTTTAACAGCGAGTGGTGAAAATCGACAGAAACAGTAGCACAGCAGTAACACTGAACAGTATACGAGATTGAAATCGCCGTCGGTGGACGAACACCTGTCGCCGGCGACAATTGCGATGATTGCCGTCGCCTGGTCGATCGATAGACGACGTCTGGACGAGAAAAACACACATACACACACAGGACGCACACGCAGACGCACACACACCCACAGACAAAACAAAAACGTATGCCGAGTTGAGTCGGACGCGCACGCCGCGCACGGACTCGTCTAGGTAACTCAAAACTATTGTATGGCGGCGTGTGCGCCTCCACAGCTAACCAACACAAGACAAATATTAGATATGTATAATATTATAATACGTATATGTTGCTGTTTGAACACAGACGACAGCGGACGGACCCGTATCACAGTACCGTTCGCGATATCAGTGTACACCAAAGCAGTTATTCACAACAGATGGTCGTCGTCGATGATACACCGTCTGTGTGATTTCTAAACCTAGAGTTGTGAGTAGAGTGGTTCTGATTGGCCCATATTATTATGGCGGCAAATTCAAAACTATAAAATCAAATAAGTTTATTGTTTTTACTTATTAATTTTTACTTTTTTAATAACTTAAAATTAATGCTAATAAATACGAAATAAATGAGAATTAGGTTTATTTTTATATTTTGTGTGTACAATTAAATGTTTTTGTGATAGGTACTTTTTATTATACATACAATAATATAGGTATATACAAACTATGTATTCAATAATATCATAATACAAAAAATCATACAGGTTAGTTATCTATCTGCTTAAAATATATCGAAACGAAATAACATTAATATAATATTGAAAATTGTTGTTCATACTATGCTTGATTGTATATTGTTTATTTTATTTGTAGAACAAATAATAAAGGATATGTGTAAGTCTGTAATACTGTATTTAGGTAGGTACTTAAAAATCCATGGCACGCTACTCAATATCTTTTCTCTACAAGGAAAATCTATGAATAATAAATATGATATTGTTAATAAGTAACCATGATAATTAGTACCTTACAAAAAATGGGTCGGAAACAAAAAAATCTTGTATCTATTCCAAAAATGAATTTATACAAAAAACATTTTTCATAACAGCGAGAAAAATAAAATTGTTTTGTATGAAACTTATACCACAAAACAATTGATTAAGATGTGTTCATTATCAGAAAAAATGTGGAACTATTTTGGAATTATTTTTCCTTCGTGCCCTATTCAATCCACCTATTTAGATTCCTTTGTCTAATCGCGAATGTTTTAGAATTATTCAAGTTTTAGTCTTATATTAAAGAAAATTTTGTTTAGTTTTATAATAAATTATTCACTATTCAGTTCTCTTGTGTCATAACATTTAAGCATCTAATTGTTCTTTTTTTTTTGGATATATAGCAAGGTGTATTTTGCAAATATTTTACCATGCTTAATTGTATTTTATATTATTAAGAAGTAAAATGTTAACACATAATATTTATAATTTAAAATATCAAAAATATTTAAATTTAATAAAAATTAAATAGGCATTTCATAATTATCATTATCATCAGTATTAGTAATTTAATTAACATTATATTATAAATAAATATTGAAAACTATAAAATAATTAAACAATTCCAGTCCAACAATGAAAAATCAAAAAAAAATAATAATGTTATAAATCATGAACAAGAATTATTTATATCTTTATTTTATCTCATAACTAAAAAATCTAATTCGTTATTGTTTTCATCATGCATGATTGTATATTATTATTTATTTGATTTATATAAAAAAATAAAAATAATACGTGACACTTTATACAAAAAAACATTTTTCATAAAAAGACAGAAAAATAAAATTGTTTTTGTATGAAACTAGTATAATAGTGTAGTATAACACAACGCAATGATGCGTTTCAGGTTCTTATGGTATTTTACCTGTTGTCAATATAATAAAATGGATTGATACATTATTTTATTAATAATTATCTATAGTTAATCGCAAATTAGATTAACATACTGTATGTATCTACTATTCATTTTGATAACCATGATTTTCAATTTATGATGCATGTTTACCATAAAAAAATATACAATCTGTACCCTGAGACACAACAAGAATGTGGGTTAATTCAATTGTGTCCAACCTCTTGTGAAGGCTGAGCCACATCATACAGGTAGAAGTTGTTCAGTTGTTGCAGGCCACATACTTTTTTTTAATAATAATACATTCAAATTTAATGATTAAATTATATTCTATAATACAACAATACATTTTTTTATAATTTTGCAATAGCGAATAATAAGCAGAAATATTTTTAAAAGTATTAATATTTAATTATAAGTACACAGAAAAATATATTTATTTAAAATCAAAAATAAATTTTTAGTTTAAAAAAGTTAAAAGTCATAAGTTTTATTTAATGTGAAATTTGAAATTGCTTTTTTTGTGAAAGTAATGAATCAATATCTGGATCGATTGAAGTTGTGGCAATCGGTAAAAACACGGACGTGTGCATCGACCCTTACAGTTTATTTGAAGTTTTATATTCTTAAAATAAATTTGTTCTCGTAATATAATATAATATAATATAATATATTATACACAATTAAATCATGGTTTTTAAATTGAAGTGAGGGCCACATTAAAATATACCACGGGCCTCGGGTTGGACACCCCTGGGTTAATTTATACAGTGACATGAAATGAGTTGTTGGAGGAAGCCACCCAGTAGTGACACTTCCCATTGACTTAAGAAAAAAGAAGTAGGTAAGATTTCTCAACATAATGTATTTATTAATAAATTAATTATATAATATTAGCAAAACATAAAACTTAAAAGATTATGTTTATATAGTGGGATTAATCCTGCTCTCCTAAATTGATATTTTCATTGGTACAATATTCAATTGAATGAGGTGCCTTTTTTTTTTGTTCATTAGTGTGTTGTCAATCGATAATGGAACTTTTCTTTTATTATGCACATGAATTCTACTTAATTTTGTTAGTTTTCTTGCTGTCTGTACTTTTTATCCTCCAAGACATACTTTTCTTCTGGAAATTGTTGTAGGTAATATACTTCTGTTCTAAGCAATTTTTTTATATATTATATAATTTATTGACCCTTGTACTAAAGGTATAACATAACATTAAGTACATTAGTATTATTTAATACTGAAAATAAGATATATAATTAAATAGATAGTTATAAAATCCGAAATTTATTTTTTTTGAAAAATTCTAAAAAGCCAATTTGTAAATCTGATTTTTAGAAAACTTTACATCTTAAAAACATTTATCTAAGTCAAGTGGCTAATTTTTTTAAAACATCAAAATATTTGAATATTTATTAATTTGTAAAGTAATGACTTTTAAAAAAATTATTTAGATCAACGGTTCCCAAACTATGAGGAGCAATTCCCAAGGAGGGCACGAGCCGAGTGATAAATATTGATATTTTTTAATCAACAATAATTTTGTTGAAACGTCTTAAGTATTCTAAAAAAATATTTCACGATGTATTACTTTAAGTCATGTTGAGCATCCAATAATATACTTGATTCAGGGATTTCCGTAATAGTTACTTATTTATGGGAAGTACAATTTATTTTTTTAATTTTCAGGGTGCCGTTAATTATAAAGTTTGGGAATCGCTGATTCAGATTTTAGCAAGTAGGTACCTAAAAAATTCTCATATAATATTTTTAAAAATGTTATACTTTTTAAATTTAAAATGTTTTTTATGACTAGATCAATTTTACTAATAAAAAAAATAAAATTTCAAATTTCAATAAATTGTAAAAAATAAACTTACCGCAAGTTCTTGTTTATAGAGTTTTTTTTCAATGTTTTTATAAAACATTTTTTAAAAACCAGATTTACAAGTTTTGAACTTTAAAATAAAGTTTACATCAGATTTATTATTTTTATATTTAGTATTAAAAATAAGTATAAAAATGTTATTTTATACATACATGTGATGGAATTTTCTATAAATGATAAAGAATAAAAAATAAAAATATTGATTGAGGGCTGTTCACAACCTACCATTTTGTGTCCTGTTCACATAATTAATACATAGGCAAAAAATATTGGTCACACGTTTCCTATGTATAAATATACTTATATTCAATACGCGACACAAGACTATGAATTGTGAACCCCCTTAATGACAAAAGTTGTTTCATTTTTTAGGTCTATTATACTCTTTATATCAGGGGCGGCCAACTTGTGGTTTGTAATGCCTTGTATCTTATTAACAAAAACCAAAATTTACTTATCATTATTACTATGAAATATGAATTTTATATTTTTTGCTCGTACATTTATGGGTTAATTATAATACATAATTTGATATGTTAATCGGCTGTTAGCTACCTTTATTGCTTAGATCAAATTATAAAGTATCTATAATATATATAAAAAATGTATAATAATGTATTTATAAGCATTTTAGCGATATCATTGTATTTATCCATGTGGCTCTCAAACATATTCATTTTAGCCACCCCCTCTCTATATAATATGTAGGTACCTACCTAATATTTATTCCTAAGAACATTAGAAATTTCATTATGGCGACATTCTTGGGATACCTTAACAAACTAAAAAAGGCTAAAGGTTTACTCAACAAAATTAAGGAATAACACTCATTGAATATTATAAATTATTTAAGCTCTAACTTAAACAATTTAAACAGCAGACATCATGAATTGTACAAAATTAATATTACATTTTTATCAATGTTTTCTTTTTATATTAATTATTTAATTCTTTATGTACATAATATATAGGCTAATATAACCTTAGCTGTTGCCTCATGCCTGTTGTATATTACGAAGTCCTATAATAATGCAATTAAAATTCTAACTGCAATACTACATCATTTCAGTCATTCTTCAATCAATCATAAAAAATTCAAGACAGTAGCTCTAACTCAACATCATATTTATTTATTCAATTTGAAAATTATAAATGCTTTACAAAAATAAATTGATGGAAAGTGAGATTATGATAACATGGCAATTAATTACAACAAAGTATGGGATGGCTCTTAAAAAAAAAATACAGATGTGGTCCTTTGATGTGTCAGGCAATCACTATAGTGTAAACTGTCCAACATTGACTTCATTACAAAAATATTTTTTTTTAATAATTATGTAATAATTTTATACAACTTAAAAATTTGCTCTAGAAAATTACATTTGTTTCCTTAAGACATATGTTAAACAATTTTTTTTCTCAGACACCTATATAACTCAATGTGTTTTACATGACATGTAGAAAAAAATATAACTAAAATTTTATATTTTTATATATGTTTTAGTTAGGTATATATAATATAGCCATAGCTACACGTTTATGAGGACAATGTTGAATGGTCAATGTGAGGCATTCTTATCCTATAGTTCTCTCCGAAAGCTCTTCTTTGCAGACTATAACAAACAAACAAACAAACAAACAAATAAATAAACATTAATCTTGTGAATATATTATAAGTTATTATAATTCATAACTAAATATATTGAACTTTTTTGTAAAAAGCCATACAACTAAAATATTGTTTTAGGCTCCATCAAATAATAAATATCAATAGTAACTTTATTTACATCAATATTCGAGTAAGAAAGACGTATGATACAAGGGTGTCGTTTGCGGCATGCAAGAACGTGCAAATACACACTTCCAATGTGTAGACGTATATAATTCTAGAGAATTTATGGTTGGTATAAAACACATAGGTAACATTGTAACAATACAATTTTACAAAAACGTGTTTTTTATGATCTTATAATATTTTAAGGATTATCACAAACTCAAGTTTTACTCACTTCACAATCTAAGATTGTGGTTAAATTATACTACCTATGGATTATTCAAGATTTTGGTTGGTGCCGATTTTGCGTATATGTATCGTTCTTATACATAATACAACAGAACAAATGGTTACTGAAGGTACGACAATAAAATACGTATTATATTCATTGCAATGTTAAATGACCAAAATTAATTGGATTGAGCTTAATTGTTCTATGATATGAATGAACAAATTAACTACAAAGTTTGCTATGTTAGTTCTCGGGAGGTACTTAATTTTTAAGAAGATAGTAGGTACTTTGTGGCACTAAACAAGTTTCGTAACATGGTTTAAAATAGGTATACATTATATTGTGTGTATTATCTTTTCCACCGCGTCTTCCGACTGGTGTAACCTGCTCTAATTTAAATCAATGTACAATTAGGAGTTTGTATTTTTACGAGTATTAGGTACTTCAGCGTTTGTCCGAAAAACGCAAGGCGACCAGCGTTTTCCGCCGCGGATGGAAACTTGTAGTACATCCAACGTGTATATAGCTAATCCGATATAAACCAATTGCATTTGAATTCGACGGAAAATGCCTTGTATAGGTAGCCCCGCCCTAACTGAAATTCGTTCCAAACTTCCCTTTGCTTTCATAGGAACAGTGTATTGGGGGAATCATCAGAATTAAACCATTATTAACAAATAGTCGATGACGACTGTTCGGGTTTCTAAGAAATATGTAAAATGTTTAAATGTAGATAATATTATAAATAAACTATGTGATGTTGACTGCTGAATAAGGATATTGATATTTTTTTTAATTGTATATTTTTTAAACGTAAATAAGTAATCTCGTGTGTTATATCTGTATGACACATGTGATGTTTTTACTAAAGAATAAACATTAAACATTTGAATTATTATTGAATAGTAAAATAATCGATTTTATTGTCACCGTATGAAGCAAATCGTTCTGTTATTATTGTATACCTATATGTTTCCATAGAATCTAGGAAAAAAACGTAAAAAATGTATTTTTATCTAAAAGTCACAATCATTGTTTCTAAGTTTATTAATAAAACATAAAAGAATGACACAATAATACTATAAACAATTTGGTGGAAAACGTAAAATAAAAATTATTAATAATAGTTTTAAAAATCACAAATTTGTTTCATTATTATAGGTTCAGGTGGAACTCTGGCTTGTGATTATGGGTCTCAAGTCTTCGCATTTTCGGCACATATTTCCGCTGGATTCGTTCTAGTTTGTTTAGCAGTTTCTTTCATTTTATATGCACATTTTATGGCATTCACATTCACCTATCCAAAAATCCAATTGAAATTGTATTACCAAATAATATACTTCTCCCAACAATTGCTCGAGCGACAATTATTCACAGGAAAATTATTCGAATACGACAATCGTACGAGCACAAATTGTTCATAAAAGAAAAAAAATAAGATGATTATCATGTTATATGTTTTAATGATTTTATCATATCGTATGTACAAACAATTTAAAATTGGAACAATTACGCGCTCGACATTTACTCTGCCCTCCTTAGCCAAAAGGCAGTAAGTGACAGTAAGTAAATGTGAAAAATTAGTTTATTATATCAAAATATTCGTTATGTTAATGTGTATTTTTGTTAACCTTAGAAAAAATGCTGTATTTGCAATAGATTTTATATTAAACGTGATAATGCATGTACGTATTTTTAAACTGTACAATTGATATACTAAGCAAAAAAGCAGTAACTGTCAACTGATCACATTATAATGTAATTTTGATTAGTATGACTCGCATACAGCCTATACAAGACATGACCATTAATACAATATTATAATATAGACAACAAATCTTATATCTTTACATCTTTACATGATGAATGAATGACGAACATTCAGTGTTCACACGTCTGTTTGACTTATGAGTTACGGCTTACTAATGAAGAAAAATATTTTAAATGCATTAAGTTAAAAAGATTACTAGAGTAAATAACGTTTTTGATTCTTAAATATTAGTAATGTAACAAAACAATAATCAATCAACAAACCAGTCATAATAATGAAGCAGATAAATAGATAATTCAATATTTAAATGTGTTCACTGTGGCTTATATAATTACTGTATAAATTAAAAATAAAAACTTATTAAAATAAATAGCACCAACTATTTGATTTGGAACTTTTTATAGCTTGTAAAAATGTATTGAATACGATTATTATAAATTTAATTATGAATAAATTAGAATAATGATATTAATTTGACAGTGGGCTCGAATATCAATGGGTGACTTTAAATCAAATAATATGTAAATTGTAATTGTATCATTGTGTTAGTAGTAAATTAACATTATCTAGGTCCCTTATTGATCAGCAAGATGATGACCGTAAATCGTAGAAGATCATCTACAATTCATCAATTCCAATAGAAGAACCTATCAGTTATCTGTGTCACACAGGTCACCAAATTTAGTTTTTAAAATCGTGGTATCAACAACACAGCTATAAGAAAAAGATTTATTTTGTTACTTCCAGTGACCCGATTTAAATTTTGAAAAAAGATCTGTCTCCGATAACTTTTTTTCAGTCTTGTTAAATACAAAAATCAAAAATGTATTTCCTACATAACTTAGAAAAATAGATGCGTATATTTAAAACAATTGGTAATTGGACATCGGGGAGCAAGTAAACTAATCTTACACTTATTGGTCTAATACTCTAAAACCACAAACAAATATTGTGTGCTACGGCCACATTAACGCATTTCAGTTCAAGTGGTTAGGTTATAGGCACAGTTCTCGCAAGTGAGAATATCGGAAATATAATTTTTTTTATATTCTCTACTGCTAAAAAACTTACCATTTTGTCGAGAAAAGAATGTATAAAATAAAACATATCGGAGACTTACATAGATTTATTTATTATAACGTGGCAGACGATGAATTCATTTAACAAGTTACAAGTCCATTATTTTTTCACTAATTATTAATTAGTGGTGTATTGGTAAACATATTCCTGAATCCTGCGTATATGATTTCTTGACGCTGTTAAATCCTAGGTGTCATTGATATAATCTTAACATTAAGTCAACAAATATTTTTTCTCGCTTCGCATTATCGTTTATTCAATGGTACCTAAGGTACTAAATAACACGAACTTGTCGGTCAAGTCATTCGTCTCTAATGTGTTAATTATTTATTGGATTCACAATTATGACACATCGTATAAGACTTGACGTACAATATTTAATATATCAATAATTAATAATAAGTCGTAAAATGATAAATTACTTTAATAGTTTCTATAGACACGAGTACATGATTTCATGAGTAAATTAATTGTGATTATAAGCTAAGTCAAGTAAAATAAAATAGATGATATTTTATGAATGCATAAGTAGTATTTATTTGTCATAAACCTGATATGTTTTCATAAAACTTTCAATGGTTACATAAATTAAAGTTTATTTTTATTTTTATTTTGCTAAAACAATATTTTTCTAACTGAACAGGAATTTGGGGAAAATATTAAATAAAACCTCAAACCATTTTTTAATATTCAATTTGTAATGTATTAATACACTGCGTCAATCTTGCTTCCATGCCCAAATTAATTTGATGGAAAAAAAATGTTTTTTCTGCATAATATGGTTTAATATAATATAATTAAGGTTTTTTGCAAGTTTTAAATATTTTGGATTTTTTTTAACAAATTATAGGTAAGTACATAGCATGACTAAATAAAGTCATGGTACATAGTATAGTGATACTGCAGGCCTTTTAGGATATAACTATAAACGAAAATCTATTTTTCAACTAATTTCGTTTCCCAACTTGTACTTACGACATGTTATAGCAAAACTGCATGAATTACACTCAATAAAAAAAAAAACTTATTACAGAAAACATTTTTACTAAAAATATACTAAATTGTATTTAAAATATATATAACATGAATAGTATTAAGTATTTATTTAGGTTACATATACTATAATGGTATTCATCTTAAGTATTTTCATTTAAATGTCTTATTTACTAAAAACTGTTATGTATAACTTTTAAAAAACTAAATTGAAATAGAATCGAATTTGTTGGTACCTAGACATTTTTTAGAAATAAAAAATATACCATACGGAATCTTACATAAATATACAATATATATATTTATTGTGTACTCAACCAACTGTATATCCTGAAGACCTAATACCTTATACTTTACTTAGCTCAACGATTTCCACTTCCATACATCGACATCGACAATCAGAAAATGGATGTACTAAACAATTGTTTGAAAATCATAAATTAATTTTTTACTATTAAAAATATTTATATTTTTAAGGCTTATTTATTGTACAGCTATCGGGTTAAACGAAAGATTAACTACCTACCTATATGATTTACCATTTAAGATACTTAAACTAATTATTGATAAACTGTGATAATTTTACTGTATTTTTTCAAACTGGAAATAAGTATTAAAAACTCATATCAAAAACGTAAGTTGTATTTTTTTACCATTATTTTAAGTTTCAATAAGTTTTCATGATTAAATCAACCAAACTTAAAGCAGGTCTCATAAGCACTACAGCTTTAAAAATTTAATATTACAGTAATTTTTGTTTGAAATATTTGTACGTAGAACACCTTTAGAAATTTACATTCAGTAGTTCACACTTCACGTAGATTCGTTCGCTTAAAAATCTGAGTGATCGGCCTATTCAAATTGCTAATGCTAAGAACATTATGTGTATTGGTACGTAGGTTTTTAAGGTAGTTCAGTTTCTTAGTGAGAATTTTAATTTGCGCTATACTTATTATAAACCCAAATCTTGTCAAAAAACACAACTATGGTAAGAACCCACAAACACAGAATATGTGCTTACCATTAAGTTTTATAACCTAACCTAACGAAGCTTAACATCATCTACTATGCTAATCTTCTCAGATAGAAACAACAAAATGTGTGTGTTGACATATGGCATCTTCTAAAACCTCGTGAATTTTGTTCTTTTAATTTCTTTGCTACATAGCATATTACTATTTATATACTTTTATACAACATTTTGTGCTCCGTCACTGAGCACATCCGAAATAAATACCAATAAATCATTGGAACAACAGCACAGGCTGGATCCTTATAAACGGTCATTATTGTATTTCTTTTCTTTCGAAATTATACATTACAAAATAGATCTATTATGCCGGGAAATTATAGTATGTTTATATTCTGTTATCCGCATCGTCTGCCGTGGCGTCGAAGTCCATTTGTATTTGTTATCTATGGAGGTAGCCAGGCAAGTAGGCAACTGTCGTTTCGCGTCCGATTTGTTTACAAAATCAAAATTCCAGTCGATACCCACGCAGGAGCTGTACATACCAATTACCAACTCTCCCAACATATTATTTATTTATTACGTCGTTCCCGCTTATCGCTCTTTGTTTCGTGCACGGTGCGTCGGTGCATCTCTTATGAGTTTTAGCCTCTAACCTATTATTTCATTAGTCTATAGCCTGCCCTGGTGCTCTCTGAGACCACGTTGCCACGACTGTACGACTGACGCCGCAGCGTTTTTTTCCTCACAATAAGAGGTTAACTTACTCTCTAGTAGGTTTTTGCTGACGCTGAGCTCGATATTGACAGCAGCGTCTCGTGTTATTAACACAATTAGAGGTTAAAACATTATTTATTGCTGCTGTGTTTTGTTTGTAATTTGCGCGTTCCTCGCTGGAAACATCTAAGTGTTTTGGGTGCAATTTTTATACATCGTTAGGTAAGTATTTTTATTTTATTTTATTTTTTTTCTGTTTCGTTAATACTCTCATAATAAAAATGATAGATAATCATCGTCTGTTGCACTAGCGGTAACTAGATAAAATGTCAACGAACTACTTAAACCACAACGTTCCTGGGTACAGCGGTAATTATGACCCGCGTCCCAGCGGTGACGACTTGCCTGGAACCAGCAGTGATGATGACGACTCGGAGCCAAATACTTCTATTACTGAAGAAACCCCCTATGTCAGTATATATGGCATGGTAGGTGCTAAGAATGTGAGTATTACAATTACAATTGTTAAGTAAGTGGACAACACTCATAGACAGACCTGTCGTACACTTAGCCATTATCGTTTCGTCGTTTTTGATATTACCTACTAAGAGGAGTGGTCGGAGTAGCCCTGTTGACTTTATGTTTGATGATAAATACTTGAGGCATAAATTCACTTTAGCTACCCAGCACCTTTTTAATTTTTTTTTTTTTTGAAATAGATGTACTTCGACGAGCTAAGAATGATGGTGCCAAAAAAAAATCGCGGAAACCATTATTTTGAAAGTTATAGACATCCAAAGTTTGCGATTTTACGTTTATATATACGTATGCGCCATGCGCGCAAGACTGTTTTAATGTTGCGCGAAGTAATTTGAGTTTGGCGAGCTGGTAGTTACCCTGTGACCAACTTGGGATGGTGTTGCACAGCAAGTCGGGGGATATTTATGGTTTGCGGAGCGGAACGTAGCGACGAGTGCTGCTGGCATGGCATCCATGTACGATGTTTTTTCAAATTGGTGGCCCACTTTGGTAGGTGTTGCATAGAAAATCGAGGGATATTTTCGTTAGCGAAAGCATCGCTCACCCAATACAGTAGGAAATAACATTTTTACGCCGGATACATGGCAAAATTAATGTTTTTGAAACAATGTCGTGCCAAAAAAGTTGAACCTTTGTCTGCATTTTTTTAATTTGCTGGCCATTTATACTCGACAGCTGCACACACCGAAAATGGGGATTACGTAATTTCCGAGGACTCGGACAGTTTCAATGACGACGATAGTACAGATTACAATATCGATATGTAAATAAATGATAATATGATTAATGATGATTATACCCATAGACCTTATAGTATACCAGAAATTTGTTTATCTTTTTTTTTTATTGTGCGAGGCATTATAGTAGTGTTGCGCGCATGCGTATCAACGTAAAATCGCAAACTTTGGATAACTATAACTTCCAAAATATTGGTTTGCGCAAATTTTTTTTGGCACCATCGTTCTTAGCTCGTCGAAAAAATTTTTTTAAAAATGTGCTGGGTTGCTAAAGTGAATTTGTTCCGCAACATGACCAGTTCACCATCTAAAACCGATTTTTTCATGTTAACTGGTCATGATCTTAACTTGCTCGGAGTATATGCTATGATTGTGAAAGACAACAAATGAGGAAATAGTTAAGTCCTGTAAGGACTAGAAAGTGAATTTATATGCATTTATTTTTGAAAACAACATTTAGTAGAATTTTAAAAGATGGTGTAGTTTGTTTGGAGGGTTGGTAATTGACTATTATTTATACTAATTATCTATAAAAATTTTGAAAGTAGATTATTTGCCTTAAATAAATTAAAATGTGTTTTTAAATTTCTCATATCTATTTTTGACGTGTACTATATTTAGGTTACACCAGAATAATCTACAATTATTGTTGATTATTAATAATTCACTGTGGCCTGTACTGGTAGCTCTTATGGGGCAGTTGCAAAAACATTTAAGGATGCCTTATTTTTGTTATTTAATCCTATTGGCTAAGTGAAAGTTCATAAGATTACAGGTTGAAAAAAGAGGGCCAGTTTCGTGTGGGTCACTACAATGGGTGATGTTAGATTTGAAATCCATGACATATCGAATGTCAAAAACAATTTTTAACTTCCAACGCTCGTAAAATCTTACTAGTAGATTTACGTGTAATTTTTTTTTTAAATTTCCATTAACAACTTATGAAGAGCCTCGGTATTTAATTTTTAAGTATTTAAACAAACAAAATATTTTTTTATAAATTGCCGAAACAAATTATTTTGAAAATTGAATAGTGTATATAACAGGAGTCTTCAAACTTTTTCATTCGAGGGCTGCATAATATATCAAAAGCTCTTAGCGAGCCAAAATGTATGAACATATTATAAAGAAAAATAATTCTTATAATGGTTAATCCCTCCAACTGTTTAATTGTATTAGTTTAGCTTATAAATTATGATACGGCTGATAATTGATGTGTATGTGCATTAATGACTTTGAGTATAACACATATTTTTAGATTATTTACCACTCTTTGAGGGCCATGGGCCATATAGACCTCTGGTATAGAAAATGTTAATTAAACATCCGTTGAATATTAAATGGTTATTAGTTTTTTAGTTACTTCAAAAAAACTTAATCAATTTTGTCAAAAACTGGTTTTGCTTAAAAATCTCTATATTTTTCCTTAATTGATTGTTTTTATATATGCACTATCAGTTTTGATAACGTATTTCTTAGGTTTAACTCTTCAGTCTTCGCAAAAAATAGTTAACATTTGTATTTACATAGTAGTATGGAACAACAGAAAATCATCAGGTTTTTATGTAAAATTTTGTTAGGTAGTCAGTAAAGATGTAATTTTCATGGGTACATTGTGCATCTGCGTGATTGCTCAGTGAGCCAGTACAGGCCTATACTCATCACTCGTCAATAACTTTAATAATTGTCATTGTACATTGTATTTATTTACTTATACTATCACTGTGATACCATCATAATGGCAATGGTATGTTTATAAAATAAACTTCATTTTATATTATTATAAGACTTGATGTTGGCTAGGCGTACACGATCCCGAGCACTAGGGACTTTCAGTTATTAAACTGTAGTAATAAACATAACAATGATTGTTTTGATTATATAGTATTGTATTTTACTTTTATGTTTGATTAAATAGATCCACCAAGATGTGGAAATGTACCGTTCGACATTGTATAACTTAAAGACTGAACCCGAAGAGATTAGAGAAAGACGAAACCAAATAACCAATGAAGATTTCTTACGACGGTGTTTTCTACCAGATGTAGAGAGCGCGGAGATACAATATATGAAGTCATTAGATGAACCAGTTAATGAACCAGTTAATGAACCACAACCAGAAGAAACTACAAAACAAATTAAAATAGAACCAGTTGACGAAATTGAAGAAGATTCGTTTGAAGAGGAAACTGAACCACTTGAGTATCTACCTGAGACCTACTCAGAAGCGACAGAAAACTCCTATCACGTTGACACAACACACCCTAGAGCGCGTGATTTGGAGAACATTAGAATGTTCTTAGAACAGTATGGGCAACCAGATGAAAGAGATAGAGTAAATTTGCCGCTAGTTAATATTCGACCAGAAGTTACGATTACTGCAATCAAAATCGAACCGGTTGACGAAACTCTTGAAGAGGAAACTGATCAATCTGAGTATGAACCTGAGAGTGACTCAGACATGATAGAAGAAACCCGTTATGAGATGATCATAGTTAGAAGAGCTCCAAACAACCCTAGAGCAAATGAGTTGGAGAACAATAGGATGTTCTTAGAGCGGTATGGAGAACCAGAGGAAATGGATGGATTAAATATAGGACAAGCCGAACAACAACCAGCAGAAGAAGCTCCCTCTCCAATCGACACAACAACTAACCCTAGAGAAAATGAGCCGGAGAACAATGGAATGTTCTTACAGCAGTATGGAGAACCAGAGGAAATGGATGGATTAAATATAGGACAAGCCGAACAACAACCAGCAGAAGAAGCTCCCGCTCCAATCAACACAACTAACCCCAGAGCAAATGGGTTGGATAATGGAAACACAAATAGTGAGTTTCAATACTGTTTCTTTAAAAATACATTTCTGTGACAATGACCATTAATAGCTTTAGCTTGAAAATTATTATAGTTAATACTATTTTTTATTCCATATTTCATATAGAGTATAGCTGACCCAGCAAATGTATTTTGCCTATAAAGAATTTTTTGGCAGCTGCACTTAGTCTAGAACACGAAAAATAATCTCTGGCCGTCACTCACCAAGTGGCAATTTTTCAACAGTGATTGTCAAATCACTGTGAATACTATTTTATACACAAAAGCTATTATGGCAGTACAATGTTGAGAACCAATTGTCACTAAAGTAGGGTATGAATAATACCCTACTCTAATGAACCAGGGGGTCAGTGATCATTTTTCGTGTCCTAAACTATAACCAAAACAAATTCCAAGGGAGACCAATATATGAATATGTTTTCAAAGTCTTTTAAGGTTTCCGAAATTATCAAGTACCTACTAACAAACTCATAATCATTTTTTTTATACAGTTTGTCCCATTGTATGTGTAGCACTAAATATCTCGGCCTTAGATTATTATATGGTCTGCTGGTGATAGCTAGGGAGTACAGAAGTACACATTTTGGGGAAAAACAAATTTATAAATCCTTTGGTTTACACATGCACAGTACAACTTGAGTTTTTTTTTTAATAGCAAACTTTAATTTTGTCATTTTGTTAGATAAATCTTTTTTTTTCTACTTGTCATTTAGATCTTTTAAATTGACTAAGTTACAGTCCTAACCTTTTTGAGGTTTGGAATTAATAAGATTTTTTTGATTTTTCAATATTTTGGTGTTGAATGATTTTTTACATGGATTTAAAAATTTGTTTGATGAATTAAAATGTAAATTAATTTATAACATTATTTTTATATCTATTATAATCTAACTATCTATCTATCATTTCTGTTTTGTTTCAATTGAGATATTCTCAATTGGTTTTTTTCAAAATCAGTCAGGTATTACTTGCCTCTAATATATAAAAACTATTACCTAATTTTACATTTATATATAATAGGTTTACTAATGTAAATAACAAAATATAATACAATGCAGAAATTTATATCCAATCGTAAAAACTATTTTTATTAGATCTGTAACCAAAGGCAACCCTATATAAAAAAATAAGGTCTTGAGTCAACCTTGATTATGAGTCATGACCGTTATTGATTGAAAAACAAAGCTACAAACTCTACCCCAGTCTCAAGGAATCTATTAATATAACTGTTATTGAAAATGTTTGACGCTAGAGGACAAATAAATAAATATTTATTTTCATATATTAGATATCGATTTTTAAATGAAAAAATTGAGTTTTGAACAATTAATTTGTTTGCTATAAAAGTATTTAAAGCAGGGGCGTCATTTCAATTTATTCGCTGGGTGTGCAAACTTTAGGCAGGCCAATTTTGACATTTCACCAGGCCATTAAAAAAATATTTATATTTATATATATAAATGTAGGTAACCTATGCAAACATATGTAAATATTCTTTCTTTCCTTTTATAATTCTAATTGAAACTCATAACGACAAATTCAACTTTTAAATAGCTATAAATTCAAAGAATTAAAAGTTTATAAGCAATTTAAGCAACCAGCTAAAGCCATTTCACTTTTAAATATATTTTATTTTAACATTTTTTAAGTTAGCGGGGCCGTTGCACACCCTGCTCCTCCCCAAATGACGCCCCTGATTTAAAATATTATACCAATATCAGTTATTTTTTATATAGATTACTAGTTTCACAATAGTCCCCATTTTTTGTTTGTGCATTGTGAATTAGTAGAAATAATTGTTGACCAAAACATTTATGTTTGACCTAAAGCTTAAAATGTAGTACCAAGATCTCACATAATTCAATCTTACAGTTAGTTAAAAGTACATTTTGTGCACATTTTCTTTATAAGCTGGGTTTGATAAGTACCTACTTGTACTTAAAGGAAGGAAGTCACCCTATTTTTTTTTAGAAGTCGAAGAAACAAATTTTTAACTTTTTTTCTATTGGACATGATTAACAGGCTATAAATAAAAAACATTTACTTTATTTGGGGGGCAAAATAGAAGTCTAAAAAAAATTAATATTTATTTTAGTTTGATTTATAATTTGTTTTTTATTATTTTGATTTAACATTAGTTTAACACATTAGGTGCTGCTAAAATAACTGTTTGGAAAGACACGAGTAACTCAGGAAGTCAAATATTTGATTTTCTATCTTATTGTGTCTTATAGCTAAGTAATACATTTAAACATTAATAAAATAAAGAACAGTAAAATATTTAATTAAAATATAAAACTAATAATTACTAATTACAATTAATATTTTAGATTCTGAACATTGTTGAAAAACGTAGATCAAGGGCTCTTTACTAATGAGAACCCACCTGCCTTCACACAAGCAAAAATACAATAAACTAGCCAACTATTTAAAAAAATTGTTAGCTAAACATAAAACAAAATCTCTTGAAAGTTTTCTAACTAATAAACCAACAAAAAGTGCAAAACTAAAGCCCTTAACGTCCCAATAAAAAAAAAACACCTCTCCCTCATGGAAGAATGGTACATCAACTGGTGGTTGAAAATAAACCAGTCAAAATCCGTGCATTGTACTTTTACCCTTAGACCTACTCCTCGCCCAGCTGTCTCCATCCATGGTATCACTATTCCAAATCCTCAAACAGTTAAATATCTTGGAATAACTCTAGATCGTAGATTAACCTGGGCCCACCATATTAAGTCTAAACGACTAAACTTAAACTCTCGATTACGCCTTTTTAAAACATTCATTAACAATAACAAATACACTAATATCAACACAAAACTGCTCATATATAAATCTTTAATCAAACAAGTCTGAACATATGGCATATAGTTTTGGGGTAATGCAAAAAAATCAAACATAAATAAAATACAAACCTTTCAAATCATAGCACTCAGAAAACTTTTAAATGCTCCTCCTTACGTCTCAAACCACACTATCCACACTGATCTAAAAATAAAATTAGTACACGAAGAAGCTATAGCTCATTACCAAACGCTTCCACAATCGTCTTACCTCCAATAGCAACTCGTTAATACGAAATCTCGCAGTCCTTTCTATTCCAGACGTTTAAAACAGAAATGGTGTCGTGACCTACTTGTTCACCCCCTCCCATCCTTTTATATATGTATATAAAAAAGGTCAATATTGAGTGTCGTAATTGGATGAATTCTCATGTCATGTTTATCCTGCTATAATTTACTATAAGCATATAAACTTATTGTGCTCCTCAGGTACAGATATTTTATCTCAAATAAAATAAATTTTAAAAAAAAGATTCTGAACGAAACGATGAATGTATTGATATTAAAGGAGCACACAACACAAATAAAAAAATTCTTTAAATTTTTTTTAAATGTTAAATTATTGTAGTTATGGTTATATGAAATGATTTTGTGAAGATACGATATAAAAAAAAAAATAACTTTAAAAGATATTAAGATATGTAGAATAGCCGCGTGACGTCACTGGGCCGGAGTCATCGTAATTGCCTATCTATTCCATATCATTATCTATAAACTCAATAGCTCTATGAAATTTGTACTTAACACTATTATTGAAAACATTAAAAATAATTCTTTTCATTAATATTATGTGTTTATGTTACATCTAGTAAGTAACAGTTTAAAAATAAGTGAAAATATTAAAAACTGCTTTATATTAATTTTATTTTTGATAAAAAAAACTCACCTAAATAATAATAATACTCTTTATTTTCACATTTGTTTGAAAAAAATTGAATAGTAACTCCATAAATGTAAATCTTCAATACTTTATCGTTATCAACTGAAAAAATTGTTAACTAGTTATCAAAATTTGCGAATTATTTCTAGTTAAAATTTTTTTACAAGATTCCCTTTAAGTTTTCATACATTTAACATTAAGTAAAAGTTTATCGGAGAGTCAAATACATTTTTACGGGCTTTAAAATAAGACATTGGATATTCACTCGTAAATTAACAAATTTTCTCACAAAACTATAAGTACCTATACAAAGTTCAAAATGTTGACAAAAACTATCAAAATCTTTAAAATTTTCAAGTTATTTTATAGCTAAAACTATTAAATGTTCAAGTTTATTAGGTAATGATTGAAAATTGAAAACAAGGATTCTCATAAATAGTTTATACTGTAACAAAAAAAACTAAACAAAAATGTTAACAGTTCTTTTTTACTGACATTTTAAGTTCAAATTTGGATGAAATTATATATTTAAACTAAGTTTAATGATTTTTGTTATTTTGATGTAATTTAAAAATATTAACCACGGATACTTGAAACTAATAGTACATCATTTTTAGAGTATATTATTATATTTTATACACACTATGACAATTTCAAATGAAGTTTTTTGGCAAAAATTACTATAGGACTAATGCCTAACAGAAAAATAAATTACTTTAATCACAATAATAAAATAAAATATACCTAATTAGTAATATTATAAACTAATATTTCTGAAAATTGATGTGACAGTCTTCAAATAATGATAACAGAAACACAAAAATAATATAGTGTTTTTGTAAATTTTATTGAATGACAATCTATAACATCAATCATTGAACCTCATTATTACAAGACATGATAGGTAATACATAGTATCTAATAAGTCAGTGATCAATGTATTTATTTTAATTTTTGTTTCAGTAATAGAAAACCCAACTGGTGTTCAAAGACGAAAGAGAAAAGAAGTTAACTCTACTCCAACCCGCGTTTCCTCTAGGATAAAAAAACCTAGAATAATGTATAATGTTTAATTATGAATATTCTACTTTTCTCAATATAAATATAATATTTATATAAGTTCATTTTTAAATATTACTGTGATGTTTAGTTTGTTAAACATAATTAAAAATTATATTTTAATACATTTTTTTTCTATTTTATTTTATATAACTTTGGCTAAAAGTTAATATTTACAGACATTGTATATCAAATTGCCATCAAGGGTTTATTTGTGGTCTTAATCCACTTTCTTAAAATGTTTCTAAAAATATTATGATAAACAAGAGTAGTACATTTTTTTTTTAAATTCATTTAGATTATATTTATAATCACATTAATAACTAAACTTTTAAAAATCTATTAACAAATATAATTCATCTTTGTTTTTTTATACATTTTTATTGTTAATAATATTTGATATAATAAATGTATTTTTTTCCTCAATTTAATTCTTTAATTAGTTGAGTTTTCCAAGGTCCACTGAATGAACAAGTATTTTTAATTTGTTTCCACGGGATGTACTTTACACAAGTGTTCTATACATCACCCTGAAGGTTTATAGAGTTTAGGGTATGGGTATATGGTTAGTAATTTTACGATTTAAAAAGTTATACATTGTCAACCAGTCTTAAAATAAAATAAGCTAGAACTATTAACTTGTACTATATTTAATTAATTGTTATAAGTTTACATCCATAGACTTGTACACAGGTCTGCGATTTGTCATGGACTGAAGCACCTCACATTTGACAATTATATTACCCATATAATTGTCATAATTATGCCTAAAATACAGTAATTAATTTTAGATAATATTTATAAAGCGAATTTGAAAAAAAATTGAATGATTCATTATATTCACTTTGTGGTTTAATAATATAGCAGGGCTTCAAAACTTTACAACGGAAAACATTTTCAAAAAATTGAATTTAAATGAGTTGTATTAATAAAATTATTGACTAGAGGGCTGATGATAATATATGGGCTCAGAGCACTACCTGATTTGAAAGTCTGTGTACACCTATGCTTAATCAGTTTATGAGACACAGTGGTGGCTATCCTAAGATCTATGTATAATGTGTGGGTTTAACAACCCATACAAAAGTATGTGTAAGCCCTAGGATAACCTCGGCTAATCATAACAAATTAACTTTTATTTTAAAAAAAAAACCAAATTTGAACAATTTAATATAAACTTGGTGTTGTACAATAATATCTTCAATGTAAATACATTAGATATCCAAGTTTCCGATGTATTTTCAAGATCTACAAAAAAATATGTGTGTGGGTGGGTGGGTGTTCAATTTAGGTACCTATTGACTATTAAGATTTGGGTGGTTATTCAGAATTTTTTTTTTTTATTTAGTGCAGTGGTCACAACTTATTAGACATAGTTTGAGATCAGACCATTTTAATCCGTTAACTAGATGAGTCAATAAGGCAAAAGGTCACCAAAAAAATTAAAAATAAAAGCTAATTGTTTACTTAAAAACATTTATTGAAATTTCAGCTATTATGTAATTAAATAAATAATAATAAAAATAAAATATGGGTATTTAATAGAGAAATAAATTTTTTAATTAAAAATAAAGTAGTAAAATATTGTAATACGTTAGATGATCCAACTAGAGTTGATTGGATTTTGCCTTCTTTGGTTCAAAATGAACCCATTTACCGGTGTGTGAAGCTAAAAAGGCAAACTTTTTGCTGTCTGTTAGTATATGTGGAAATAGGGAACAGCGGTTTTGAGTTTAATGGATGAATGAGTCAATTAACCGTGAGTCCAATAAGCGACGACCACTGTATTAACACAAAATAGGTCCTTATGCTGAGCTGCATGAACAATTACTAACCATTTAGCAAATCAATATAGTGAACTAAAGGTCCCTCAAACATGATTTAGTGGCCCATTGAATTTTAATGGACCAGTAAATTGATACATTTTTCATGCAATCTAGAATTAGTAGTTAAGATAAAAAATCAAAAAATGTACAAAGGTTGTGAGTCCCCAGAAATGTGTGCAATATATTGGAATAGCCTCATTGTATAATTTTTTTTTAAATTTACTTTAGAACTTGTACATTATTAGTTAAAATAATAAGCTGATTATGCTAGTCTAAATTCGGGTGTTCCAAGCACCCCCAAATGGCACCACCTATGCTGTCAACCCTGAGTAATATTGGACTATAGAGAAAAAACTATACATGACTGTAAACAATTGATCTAAACATTTAAATTCCAAATTTCGTTCACATAACAAACAACATAATAACAATGAGTACCCTAAAATAAAATACGGCGATAAGACAAGACCATTAGACCAATTAGTGAAGATAAACCGATTAAGACATTTATCATGTCAGCTAATACCTAATATTACTGGAATTTAAAATGCGTAATGTAGTCATGCAGACAAATACTTGTATTTTTATTTTAATCATTATTGAATATTTATTTTATTTTAAAAAATATATTTTAAACCTAATTTTTGGTCACATCAATTGTATAAAATATTTTTTAGCACAAAAAAATTTATAAAAAAATTGAAGGTAGGTTGCATACACTACATAGCTATTATTTCGTGGCTTTTTTTCTGTCATTGACTATAACCTTTTTTATACACACGTACATATTACGTCTTTAAGAAACAGTACACATTTAAGGGGATTCCACTCAAAGTACCGTTTTTTGAAACAAATAGACCTATACGAGTTCGAACGACCAACGTACTTCATTAAGTTATACTCTGATATTAATTTTGAAAACATATTTAAATTTAATGAGTAGATGGTCTATTTTGAATACTTCAAGACAGAATTATAAAAAAAATGTTATAACTGTATTTTTTAACCATGAATTCCTCATGGTAACTTTTTATCGTATATTACGATTAATGATTATATATTGAGAACGCTACCCATGCGTTTGATGTATCCATTTTAGAACACGTACACGTACGACATGGCAAATTTTGGTTCACTAGTTTCAATAGTGTATTAGTGTGCTGTTAGTTTCGAATGTTTCGATGTTAGGGTGAATTGATATATTATCAAACTTTCAGGTAAAAAAATTATCCGTGATTAAGCGTCGACGCATTTTAATTTTCAAGCAAGAAAGTTCAAATCTCGCTTGAAAATTAAAATATTGAATAAAAGCCGACACTTCAGCACAGATAATGTTATTATCTAAATGTTTGATTTTCAATTAACACTAATATCAAAGCTAAGTAATAACAGAAACACTATTGAAACTAGTAAACTAGAATTTACTATGTTATTCGTGTGTAAGATGCAATATTTTTATAAAATAACAACTAAAATATCATATACAACTCGTTATTTCATGATTCATGAAATATATTATGGAAATAAACTGGGTGAAGCATACGGTACCTATACCCACAGCTCACTAACAAAGGTAATTAATTAGGTATAGTTAGATAACAAAGTATTTAATTGAAATATGTTATTATAGGTATAGTATTAACTTGGATTTTCCCTGTTATTCTGAGAAACGATAAGTTTAGTTTTAATTAAAGATTAATTTGTTTTTAAATTACCCTTTAATTTCAATATTATAATAACACATCACAATATTTTATAATAAATTGTACTTTCATAAATATTATAGAGTCTATAGCTTGAATCGTATAATATGATCTGAGGCCTATAGTATAACTAATATACGCAATAAGGTAAAGATACAGTTACTTACACAGTTAAATTATTATTGAATCCCAAAAATCGGGAAAACATTTTTAAAATACTTAGCAAATCAAATTCCAAAGTATAAAGAATAAATAATGAGTTCAAAATTCAAATTTAAATAGAGTAAGTATAATATAAGTGCGTATTTTAATGAGCGTGGAATACAATTATTTATTGTTATTTATTTATATTCTGGGCCATTTTAATAGTTTTTTCTGTATTACCTAACTTATGACTCAAATTAATTAGGTACCTATCAGTTGTCACTATTGTCATTATATGAGAAGTGAGAACTGTTGATTTTACCAAACCATGTCCCATTGTTCAATTAAAAAACTACCTATATCCAAGTCAAAAGACAAAAATAATTCAAATATTGACCTGTATTGTATTTAAACGAGTTAATAATCAAAGTGAAAATCGTAGTTAGGTACCTATTTAAATGTTATTCCACTAATCGGCAATCACTAATTAAATGTATTGTGGAAGTAGGTACCTCCTTCCTCAGTTAGGAATTTAACGGTACCTAACTTAAACACAATCACATTGTCTGTACTTATATACTGTAAATCCTAATAAATATTAATATCTCAAAATTACGAAAAAAAAATACAATTGGCAAAAATCATATTTCAGAATTACGAGTTAAAAATGTTATCGACGGGTTCGAGAAGACAAATACGGTCACACAGCGGCCGGCGGCTCATCATAATGTCGTATAGGTTATAAGGAAATAATAAAATATAACCTACATAGATAATGACATAATGTGAATACACAGTAAGCACTATATAAAAATATCTTTAATAGTAAATACCTACCTAACTAATACTAGTATTTATAAATTATAATCACTGATAATTGTATAATACAAACATCGAGTTGTATTTATCGTACCAAGAAATGTACTTAACAAACATGAACTAAATATGAACTATAATAATATCATAAATGTACTTACGGTTATGAGCAATGATTAATTATAGATCTTCGGGACGCTGACGTCAATTTACAGACCACCGGTACTTGCGAGTCAGGGAAATGGTGAATATTGGCGAAGTTACAAAGATTCACAGCCACTAGGTTAATAGGTAACTCGACTCGCACGACCACTGTATTGTTGCGAAATTGTGACAATAATAATAATAATAATAATAATAATAATAATATAATGTAAACGGCGAATTTATATGCTTTACCCAGATCGGCGACCACAACGGAGCAATGACAAAAGTACGAAAGTTCTATCGCATCGACTATCGTCTATCATGCATTAGAACGTGCTCAGAACGGTGAACATGACGTGAACGGTTGAACAGTTGGTGAGCGCCACGAATGAATTTTTACATTATACAATCTCCCGTCCCCTCCAAACAACACACCGGTAAGAACGAGACACGGGTAAGCATTGTGGGGATGATTGAATCTGTATTCAGTTGTTCTCACAAAGGATTTCGGGCTACCAAACAACGAACGCTGAATTAAATGCTGTGTCATTTATGCCGTTCTGTTTGGCGGCCTGTTGCCACGAGAAAAAATAAGTCGACCAATTCTCGTTGCACGCGGAGTGGGGGAAAGAAAAAATATAACCATAATAATTATTGTAAAAAAATTCTAATAACACACTTGTGGATTCGACACGTCACCGGTACCCATAGGGGCGCCCTTCTCACTTGGTACCAATAATTTAAAAATTATATCCTTCAACAATCAATTGTATTGAAAAAATTACTTTAATTTTTATTTTTGTCATTAGGTTTATTCAAAATTACGCTTAACGCAAATGATATATGGCCTTGGAATACCCATTTATTATAAGGTTATGTGGCAAGGGCGCGCACGAGTAAGCACCAAACTTAATTTTTGGCCGTATACCATTTGTTTACCTGCACCAAATTATCGTACATTTTATGTGCCTCGACATGCTGAACAATGTAAAGGGAATAAAAAATAATTGTTGGTTGAAAATTTAATAATTTTCATAATAATTTACATGTAATACCTAAATAGTTACAAACAACTAAAAATAAATTGGATTATTTCAATATTGAATTGTCGACAGTACTCATAATTATATAAAGGTACATACATACAATATAATATATAGTCTTTATATATATAATGAATAATTAAAGATTTTTTAGCTTAAAGATAATAAAAATACATAAGGACAAGTTTTTGTTTAATTAGAGTTTTAAGTTCAAATTTTCAAAAATTCGGAATTCCTCAACATTTTGCAAATTAGCATAACATTTAATAATTTTATAACTACAAATCACATTTTCACTCCAAAAAACAAATATTACACATATAGTTCAAGTAAAATAAATTGTGTTAATTTCAATAAGGCACATTAAACTATTATATAGTCATATAGTTATAATACAAATATTAAATATATATATAATTTGAGTAAAAATTAATTAAAAATAAATAAATACATAAACACAACTATTTTTCAGTTCTATTGTAAAATAATATTGATACGCAAATTATGCACAACCTTTTAACGTAAGGTAAACTATTCATAACCTAAAAATCAAACGATGCGCAACTGTCTTACAAAAAACATCTAAATTAACAATAGTGTTGCTCACACAACAACTGGTATGGGGGAATCACCCAATAAATAACCCCAGAAATTTTTAACCAAAAAAAGCCGTGAAAAAATAACCCTATCATAAAAATTAATAAATTATGTGTACACGTATTCACGAGATATCAATGTCAGTATATGTATGATTAAAAACAAACAGTCATTTTTTTTATTTCATAATTAATTTGCATTAAAATGTCAATAATAAGTTTAAAAAAAAGTTTGTGACGCTATGATGTACAGTAGGTTACAAGTGTGAAGTGGGTCATTATAATGGATGGTGTTAAATTTGAATTCAATGATATAATATCATTGGATACGATGATACGAAAGACGATTCTGAACGGAAACGGGTTATCGGCCTTTTACATTACATTTATATTATTATTACTACCGTACTGTAGCCGAGGCCCGGTAAATTGAATTAATCTTATTTGCATATTATAATAATTTATTTTAGAAGTTTCAAGTATCCACGAATAATATTTTTAAATTACTGAGACAACAAAATAATTAATAAATGAAATCGCTATTGTTGGTTATCTCTTCCAAATTTGAACTCAGAATAACGATAAAAGATCTGTGTTCATATACTTTTGGAAACTTTTGGTTACAGAATAACCTTCTTAAGTGAAACTTATTTCAAATTTTCAATCCTTGGTTATAATAGTTGAACATTTCATAAATTTTTAACTACAAAATAATTTGCAAATTTTCATGAATTGTACGTATTTTACCTAAATTCGAAATTCAGACACTCATAAAAAATTATTCTGCACTGCCGCTCAACTTTTTTTTTAATTTCCACTAACAACAACTTACGAAAATTGTCTTGTATTATAGTTTCCAGGTTTTTAACAGGGCAAACATTTTTTTATCATTAGTTTAAGAAAACTAATATTAATCGAACATTTCATATGCCTATAAATATAATTCAATGTGAGTCAAAATATTTTGAAAATTGTATGACGTATAGAAAATGCTAATATAAACATTTAATGAAAATAGCATGTATCTACGTTGGAGTTACGGAGTTACCAACACCAAAAATCAAAATTAATTTTGTCAAAAACCGATTTTCCTTAATTTTGTTTTTGTTATCCCCGGTGGAATTTTAAATGTTGACCCTCCTGAATTCACCAACTGGATTCATTTTCTCGCCGGAAAATATATTGAAATTGAAAATCGAAGCATTATTTCGACTACGTCTTATAGTGTACACAGACACAAAAAAATTTTGATTTCGATAATTTTGTTTTGGACTCTGTAGTCTCTGTTTCTTCCGTATGACCGTATACTTGCCAAGTAAGTTTTGCACGATCTATTGAATATTCATTTTATTTATAAATTTATGTCCAAATTTATAGATATTTTCCTGCAACTAAATAGCTAAATCGGTTATTCTTTGACTCGCAAAGTCACAAACATAATTAGTTCGGTAGTTATCTTCAAATGTTGTTTGGTGAATACACTTACCGCAAGTTTTCTTTTAAAGTTTCAAGTACCAACGAATAATATTTTTAAATTAAGACAAAATAGCTAAAATCATTATTCTTGATTTAAATGTTTAATTTCGTCCAAATTTGAACTTAAAATATCTATAAAAAAAAACTGTGTTTATATATTTTTGTCACAGTATGTACTACTAATGAGTAACCTTGTTACAAATATTTAACTCTTGGCACTTATAGGCATGAAAATTGAGCGTTTCATACTTTTTTTACGAATCCCAGAAAAAACGACCAAGGAAAAAAAGAACAAGGAAAAAAAGTACAAGAAAAAAAGAATAAGGAAAAAAGAACAATTTTTAAAAATTTGAAATATATTAATAATTGATTATGAAAATTAAAATATTAAGGGTATCAATAATATGGAAAAATGCTATAAAAATATATTATTATCTCTTATTCTTCATTTTTATATATTAAAATTAAACTATAACTTATAGTATAATATAGAGTAAAATAAATTTTTATTAGTGGAAATTCCCTATGTAGAGATCACAGTGACCTTTTCATACTTTATCATCAAATATAAGTTATAAGTTATAACCAGTGTTATAATATAAAGTAAAATAACTTTTTATTACTGGAAATTCCCTGTGTAGACCTTTTCATACGTCTATAGCAGGGGTGGCGAACCTATGGCACGCGTGCCAGAAGTGGCGCGTTGACCAAATTTCAGTGGCACGCATCACATTAATATATGAAATAAAAGTTTCAAATAAATGTGTACCTAATAAAATATGTGTAATTATTGCATGCTTTTTATTTTCATCTTACCTAGTAAAATTCATTTTTTTTTTTTGGCACGCGAGCATATTTCAAAATACTTGATTTTAAGTTTAGCATTTGACTAAAAGAATTATCGCCATCCCTAGTCTATAGTCTACTCTATAGGTACTATTATTTGAGTGAACAAATTTAGCCTGTTGGCAGTCAGTGAAGTGACAAGTGTTTTCCAATATTATAAAAATTATATTCAGTTAATGACCACAGAAGTGTCAGTGTTTTTAATAATATAAAAATTCTAATTTGTAAATATATTAAAACAAATTGAAATGGAAATTTTTAAATCCAACGAAGGCGGTGACAAAATACCTTTTAAAGGATACACTTATACAGTAAAGTACAGAGGTATAAATCATAATTCATAATACACGGAAATGTTCGACAAAAAACACCACAAATTGTCCTGCAATACTAAGGGCTAGTATCTTGAAAACTAACCCTTCCGTGACAATAGGACATAATCATTCTGCGAGTGAATCTGAAGTAAATGCCATGGTACCTGTATCTAAAATGAAATTAGCAGCAAAGACATCTTGTGCGAATCCAGTCGAGATTTATGCTCAAGGTGTTCTGAGTTAGATGAATGTTCTAAATCAAAGATGCCGCTAGAAGAAAACACCAAAAGAACTTTAAGAAATCAAAGATCAAAAAATAATCAGTGTAATAAACAGTGTTACCAGTGTCATTTTTTAATAATATTTTATATCAAATTTTAAATTCTTCAATTGAATTTTCAATTTTTCATCAAATTATATCAATTTTTAAAAATTGTTCTTTTTTTCCGTGTTTTTTTTCTACAAAACACAATCGACGAATATTCGACATTTTGTCAAATTTTAATTTAAAATAATCATAAAAAAACGTATATATGTATCATCAATATTTCTTAACTGCTATTTTAATAATTTTTATAATGCCTTCTATCAAGTACCTATCTGGTTTTTATTGTTTTTTAATAACAACAAAATAAGAAAATCGTTCCATGAGAAATCGAGTGAATACCCATGTCAAAAAAAAAAATGAAATCGTGTATTTGTGATTCTATTTTACACGGGTGTTTATCGATTTAGAGCTAAAGAAAATATTGGGCGAATCCACTATTACCAAGCAATTCAAGATTATTCCTTATCAAGATTGTATTATTATATACTCAAAATAATATTTTTTTTTGGGTCATCCAGTTGATTGACGTTTGGGATTTTGGATAATCGATGTTGAGATGGGCGTTTTTTTATGCGGGGAAATTTTTAACAAAAACTGGACATTTTGATAAGGTACAAGAGGATATTAGTAATCAACATTTTAGATCATTGGTTAAGATACAATAACATAAATAGACCTCGCACATCCTAGTAAAACTACACCTAATAATAATAATATATTAATTGAGTAACAATATTACATGAGTAATCAGTTTGCCCCCCTCTCATCACCATTAGTTAGTATTATATACTTACGGATGTTGGATGCTGATGTATATTGTTGATATTTTTTTATTATTTGCCAGAAACCGATTGTTGTTTTATTTATTTATTATCCGTGTAGTTACTGTACATAAATTGCACTAATTGCATTATTCATGATGCGCAAAAAGTAATTGTACTCTTTTGAGACAGAATTACATTATACATTTCGGAAATAAAATTTTAAAATCTATTTTAATTATATCATATCACTTTATTTTTTAAACTAATATAGGTACAAAACTAAATTGTTTGGTCTAGAAATTCAATTTCATTCTTTTTGTTTGGCAGAACACATATTATTTTATACAAGTAAAATTAAAAATTAATTGCATTAGAATAACACAAATATATTTTTTTTTTTTTTTAAATTTGTTAAAATGTAAAAAATGATGTGTACTGAGTAAGAGGAAGTGCAAAGTTAAAAACGGTTTGTTTTAAATACATTTTCCCAATAAAATAAAATTCTTAAAATTAATAATTATAAGGGGGTGTCACACCAGCATGTGCTGTCTTACAAAGGTCAATATACAAAATTAAAATTAAAATTAATCATGATCAAATTTACTATTTTTTTATTTATTTATTTATTTTTCAAGATGATAATGGACCCCACTGAATATGTTCACGTGGGGGCCCGTTCTAAATAATTGAAATACCAATAAAAGCTATAATAGATACTTTAGACATTCTTAAATGTATGTTTAATAGTAGAAACCAAGACATGTTACAGGCATTCTATAAAAAACTGCGATGAAAACATTTTTAATATTACAAAAGACTGCAAGACAGCTAAAGATACGACAAAAGATTTAAATTAATTTTGATTGTTATCTGTAAGTAACCAAGCCATTCTTAAATTGAAATACTGCAGCATCATCATCAAATCAGCGATTCATAAATTGAGGATTCCAGAATACAGCAGCCAGCATTAAAAAATCCTTGTACAACATAATATTTTAATAATATTTTAAAACATATTATTTTTAAATAAAATGTTATACCTTTTGGCAATATGAATATCATCTTTTATTATGTTTATTGTCCCAAGATAACAGCGTTACTTGTGAATATTTAACTGCGTATTTTAGGTTTGGTCTATAAATAAAAATGCTGAGTAACGTCAAAATAGTTATTGTAAATATGTAAACAATTAGTGTTATTAAGATTACCTTAATAATAGTTTATTTTGGAGCAGTATTATAATTGTGTTATTTCCTTATATTTGGAGTAAAAGACTTGTTAAATGTTGTCCCTCGATTGAATTAAGTGTTTGACTTGCATGAAGTTTCCAATTGATTTATTTATTTTAATTGCAGTATTTAAGCGACCAAGCCTTACTCAAAATCAACACAGCACAATCATCAAATCAACGATTACTGAATACAACAGCCAGCATTAAAACATCCTTATACAACATAATATTTTAATAATATTTTTAACTATATTATTTTTAAATAAAATGTTATACCTTTTAGCAATATGAATATCACCTTTAATTATGGTTATTAATTCCAATATAACATCATTGCTTGTGAATCTATAATTATGTATTTTAGGTTTGGCCTAAAAATATAAAACAATTTCAAAGTAAGATTGATAGATTTATTGTAAATATGTAAACAATTAATGCTAATAAAAATTACCCTAATAATTAAATTCTTTTTGTTGCAGTATTATCTTTATAATTGGAAGAAAAGACTTTTTAAATGGTGTCCCTTGATTGATCAAAGTGTATGACTTGCATGAAGTTTCTAATTAATCCATTAATTTTGATTGTAGTCTGTATGTAGGTGACCAAGTCTTAAAATCAACAAATCAATGATTCACAAATTGAAGATTACAGAATACAGCAGCCAGCATTAGAACATCTTTATACAACATAATATTTTAAAATTAATATCAGCTTTTATTTTACATAACTATTGATTTAAAAATAATGGAGTAACTGGTGAATCTAGTGAGACTATAGCTGTTTATTAGGTTTAGCCTAAAAATATTAATAATTTTCAATTTGAATCTAAGATAATTGCAAATATATTTTACTAATACACAAATACTAGATACCCATATATTCAAGAATAAAATTATAATATAAGCAATTCATTGATAGACCAGAATTCGGCAAGTACTTATTGTTTATAATTGAATGATTACATTTTTAAAGGTAATGCAGTAATCTTGTTTTATTCATAAAATATAACAGTTATTACTTATTTGACATAAAAAGGCTATGAAATATTAACACGTAATTCTTATATTTACTTTATTCTATTAAACATTTATTATTGAATATTTTAACCAATTAGTAAAGGAGTTTGTATACATAGTTTTATATTATCTCTTAAACAGCTGGTACATGGCATAAAATACACAAAATGTGATTATAAACATGAAGTAAGTAGAACGAAATTGGATTGTATTCATTGCTACTTGTTAGACAAATTAGTCACCTAAAATTAAAAGGTAAATATCCATACATACAAATGACACAAAATTTAAATTTTAACACCATTAAAGAAAATTATAATGGAATAAATTTCCAACATAGAAAAAAAACTAAAAACAGCTAAATAGTTGACAGAATATTTAAATTAATGTTGATTGTTGTTTGTAAGTAACCAAGTCGGACTCAATTTCAAAAACAGCAGCATCATGATCCATTAAACGATTCACAAATTGAGTATTACGGAATGCAGCTGCCGGCGTTAAAACACCTCTATACAACATAATATTTTAATAATATTTTTAACTATATTATTTTTAAATAAAATGTCATACCCTTTGGGAATATTTATTTGATCTTTGATTATAGTTACTGCTCCCAAGATAACAGATTTACTAGTGAATCCATAACCTGGGTTTTTAGCTTTGACCTATAAAAATAAAATTATTTCAAAGATAGATCTATAAATATCAATACATATTTATACATCCAATAATATATACAAAATTAAAATTAGTACTAATAAAAAATTACCTTAATAATAGTTTTTCTTGTTGAACTATTATCTTTAGGTTTTATTTCCTTAAGAATAGCAGTATGAGGCTTGACAGATGTTGTCCCATGACCGATCAAAGTTAATAACATGCGTGAATTTTCCAATATTTTTTCATTTGGACCAGTTTTTGTTGCAATCCCAAATGAAAACAATTTCGGAAACTATAATTTAGTATAAATGACACTCATTAGTTTTTTAAAATAACTACTATTCATAATCAGAGTAGCCTTAAGATCATGATCCTAAAAATTGCAAGACAACTAGGTATGTCCTAGGTATATACCTAAATATTATAAATAATACATTTAGAACTAATAAAAGCCCACATACTCATACTAATACCTAAGTATGCTATCAATTTTGGCTTCGATTGAAGTATAAATATATAATATTTAATTGGTTTAATGGAAGTTATTTTTTTAATCTACTTAATATTAATTGTTACTAATTATATTATGTTATCAATGATCAATAAAAAATAACAATTAATTCATAACACTAATAAAATAATAAAATACTCTCAATTTATAAGAAATAACAATAGCTAATATAGTATAATATTACATAATTATGTGTTATGAAACAAATACTTCTTGATATTTTAAGTATTTATAGACACCTCAAAAATGTAGGGCTGAATTTTGTACATATGTATCCCTACATATGTAGGGCTTCTATAACCTTAAGGCGGCTCAGCTAATAATGATTGGATTATCTTACCCGAACAAGGAGAATTCTAATAGGTTCAAATGTGGCCATGATTGACAGCAATAAAAATATGAATAAACCAATAACAGCTGATATCAAACTACCAAAAACCATATAGTTTCGAACAGTAAAATTATAAGGTAAATTGTCTATAGTTTTAGCATGATGTATTGATCTTGCAACAACAGCTTGGTCTGGTTCTGGAAAAGCCAAACACCATTCTTTAGTGTCACCTTGCATGCTGATTTGTTGTCTATGCAATATCCTATAATTTAAAATCAATAAGTTTAATTTAATTATTCAATTATTATTTCCATGCAAAAATAACAAAATATTTTTACAACTGAGATAAGGTATTAATATTTTAATAGACTATTTTGAAACACTATTCCTTAGGATTATTTTAAGATAGTCTATGTTATGTTAACCACAAAGATATGAAGGGTGTCTTTGAGAGGAAGTAATACCTGATGGTATAGAATAGTCAGTTATTTAACTGTAATAACTAAACTGATGGATCTATTATAAAACTGAATGGTAAGAATATAGAGTCCTGCTAACTTTTTTTTTAATATTTCAAGTTCAATTTAAGTTATGAGCATTTTAAAATTGTTCCTTTATTCAGAGTGCAAAATGTGAAATGTTAGTGTGTTAATAACACTAAGGCAATACATGCAAGAGTAACTTCTAGTTATTTGTTAGTACAATGTAATACAAATATTGTTTTATACATTTTTTGATGTATGAAAACAATATTGAGCTTAGATAGGTCGATACCCAGAAAAAATACTTTTTTCATAATTTAATCATAAAATATTAAAACACAAATATGTTTTTAAATAATACATACTTCAAAACATTTGGTTTTACTCTAGTTATTCCCATTAACTCATCTAACAGTTTCCGGTAGTATAAGCGTTGTTTTTTAGTAGCCAAATGCAATATAGCACTTATCCAAGTACCGTCGTGTATAAATGCACTCTAAAATACAATCAAAGCTTATTATTAGGGCTTGTAATCGAAATTGCCAATGTATTTTATTAGCCTTTTTCTTGTGAAAATGATTGTATAATATAATAAAGTACTAAGATAACACACTAATAACCAATATTTTTAGTTTTAATTTTAAAAATGTATGTATAAAATGTTACATAACCATTTTTATCAATTGAGGTATAAAATAGGTCAGATGAGATCAACTTTAACAAGTAAGAATAAAAGAATATTATTATTTATCAACCATTATTACAAAACATAAAAATATTGACTAATAAATATTATTTATTCTATACATGATGATAACTTTGATAGTTTCTACTTTTTATAGTATAAAGCAAAATGTATTACTCACGTTAGTTATTATGTATGAACTGCTATAAAGTTGCATGTACATGTCAACATTCTCCAATTCACCTGAAAATAAAACAAATAATTCGTGCAACTATATAATTTGTTTAATGTGTCTACAAACTGCAGTTATATACCATTAAAATGTCTGTATAAAAATTCTACACCAAGGTCAGCAGGTACACTTTCCATACCAAGTGCACTAACAATTATTGAATTATTTTCTTCGGCTTGTCTATTATACATATATGCCATTTTCTCCATAAACTATAATTACAAATGTGTTATGTGACTAAATAAAAACAATTTACAAATATTAAAATAATAATGTATTCTGAGCAATTTTATTTTTATATTTGTTAATTTTCAATCATACAATATTATAAAAATACAATATAGTTCATAAATATTTAACATGCTTTTAAAAATACATTTAAAATATTTGTAGATTCTTTAGGATCCCAATATAGAAACAACAACATTAATCTAAATTTGAACAACCGATATCACTTACTAATGATTCACCAGTCACATCTACATAATGAGTAGATGTCAAAACACAAGATTTGACTACAACTTCTCCATATATATAATACGGTCCAGTACAATTTATAACCACAGAAGTTGTTTGAGCCATTCTCATTACAGTTTTAATATCTTGTACATCGGCATAAATAATATCAATTGTTTTATCTTCATAATCATCTATATAATATTTGATACATACATTAAAAATTGCTAAACATAATTAATAATACCTATGGTTTTTTCTACACCATAATTTTCATCATTAATGTTTCTGCAAACAATAAATTATTTGATACAAGGTAAAAAAAAAAATAAATACAATTAAATGATAAACTATTAGATATTACAAATTTAAAACAACCTTGTTACTGAAGACAGTGCTTAACATCATTTACAGAAACGAAAAACACCATTGTTGTTTTAAAAGTTAAAAATTCAAACATATACACAATGGTTTTTAACGTTCCTTAAAAAATGAAAGCTATTTATCTGTAGATCCTAAATTCAATAATTATTTCACAGTAATTGTTATAGTAAAAAAAGGAAACTTACCAAAAGTTTTATACAATTTATCTAATACGTTTTGTAATTTATCAGTGTTACGCCCAGCAATAGCCCAAGTTAAATTGTATGTTTGAGAAAGGCGACCCATTTCCATAACGACAAATTGTCCAGTGAATCCTGAAGCGCCAAAAACGATTATATCGTACTTGCGTTTAGATTTCATATTGGTGATTTGTTCATTGGCTGGATTAAGTTCAGCAGTCGTTTCTCGGTCGAGTATTTTGCTTTCCATTTTTGCTACTTAGTCTAATGCCGGAAACCTGGTACAATATAGATTGATGGTATTTCAAACATAATTCCAGTAATTTTTTTAATATAAAGGTATTATTATACTGCTACCGTTTTCTGTGTCAACCGAAATACATCAAATAGTTGCAAATATTCAATTACTTTAATGGGCTACTAGGTGGTTTCAGCAAAAATGTTTTACCCAAACAATATTATTTAATTTGGTGAATAACCAGAAAATTCTGAACACTGAATACAGTGTTAGTGGATATCATCACATCAAACCACATTGATCGTCCAGACAGGTGGGAGGGGGAGGTGATTGTCACAAATTCCATCACCAAAAAATTAAATAATTTATTTGTGTTGATGGTCTGCATTTTGCTATTACGGAGTGGATATTAGAGTAAATTAAAGATCTCCTAACGTAGGTGTAGCCACCCAAAGAGACCAAACGCTCTTGATGAACTGTGTATGGTGTACCTGTAGTACCTAGCACAACAGTTAACGACAACATAAAATTGCTAAAGCCCCGGTCATGTGGTACTCACCTCGAAAGCTGTAAGATGGTGAGTTTGAAAAAAACAACTACAGAAGTTAGCATCTGCGTCAATCTCACACCTCAAAGGAAACCGGCCGGAGACGAAATATGAATCAAGAGCCGAAGAGCGGAACGTTGAAAAATAAAAAACGATACAGACAAACGACAAGTTGTTGGTGAGTAGTGCGTAATGCGCGTGTGCCGTGTGTTAGAAGCCGATGACGCTTGTCGGCGTCCCCCTCCCCGCTCAACGATACCAATCACACAAGAATAATGCATAATAATAATAATAATAAAAACTAGCATAATATGTTCTGTTCTGTTATCAAATACGTAAAATGATAATGCGAGAATTTCGATGATTATCGGCAGTGACCAATATATGGCACACGGAGTCCACAGACCACAATATTATTGTACTGTTCACGATCTTAAAAGATATGTTCTAACTGTTCTTAGATCTGTTTTGGTCTAGATGGCTAAATGGTGCAATTCTCATAATAAATCCCACCAAAAAATATATTTTTATATTGATTTTTATATGATTGCATCATAAACAAATTGTAGTTTTCATAAAATAGTACGTATTACTAAAACAAAAATTAATATAAAGTAGATTTCTTTAAAAGCGCATTTTAATGTTCTTTTTCTAATTGTAAGAAAATTGTATCGTGTATATAGTACAGAAAGTATTGGGAGTAGATAGTAGATAGTATTAAGATTATCAAGTATCTATAATTACATTTACATATTTGGCATTTAGTGTTATAATTAATAAATATATCTATACGTAGTATAAAAATAAGATACAAAGAGAATGAACATTTATAAAGTAATAATTAATAATACATGCACATTACAAAAATAATAAGTTACTTATCGCATTCGATAAACTTTATTTTAATCAAATTCCCTCGAGAATTCTAATACCCCGTTACTACATGTATTTGATAGAAATATACTTTGTATACTTATATGTAAGCGCCTACACTAAAATATTATTGTAAGTAGGTATTTGTAATTTGTATTGTGTACATTCTCTACTTCGGCCAACAGGACTAAAATTTAGGACTTACTTGTGTATGATGCGTTAAGCTATAGCAATGTGATGACGGTGCGTCCGTGTTCAAACGAACATTTTTTGTAACTCGTCTTCGCACAATAGTTTAGAATTTCGAACTCACGAGCGCAAAAGGCGCAAAACATACATCGATCACGACGTGCCATACAGCTGATTCCACATTTCCACATCGTCGTCATATAGCTACCATACTACGTAACAACTTATGATAATCGTCATGATCGCTATTATCAACACGGACGTCACATAGATGAAAGCACAAATTAAGATAACATCATGAATGCTTCTATTTTCTTAGTTCGAGGATAAATGGATATTAGCTTAATACAATAAACGCATTTTAGTATTATTATTTTATGTCTATTGGTGTTTGGTAGTGTTCTCGGTTCGCCTAACGTAAAATATTATTTAAAGTATTTTCATGTACAATATTAATTTTAAACTGTCTACAAAGTCATATCTATATTGTGCAATTTTTGTTACCTATGTGCATTGTTATACGTTTCCAAAATCGACTTATAAATTAACTATTTCAATGTTCAACGAAAATTTTACTGAATAGAGCTTCACGACAATATTGGTCTGTACTGAGTAACAGGAAAATAATTTTTTTGTTCATCCTAATGTGAAATCTGAACCTGAATTACATAATTAAATCATACATGCTCTAGTATGGTTGCTATCAACTGTTATTTAAATGACTTGTATTCAGATTTTTGACAACAAAATGTGGCAACAACAAGCCTTTGTTTTGGATTCCAAATTTAACGCTTATAGAACTTCAAACCACCCCAATTTTAGTAAGTTTTATATTGTAATTAAATACATTGAAAAAAGTATCATCTATAATTAAATTATAAGCTAAGTTCTAGCATTGAATTTAGATTCAATGAATAACTTATAAATATGATAACATCATGTTACTTATATACTTTATGTACCCAATACACACCCATTTAAAGGATTGATACAGGAAATTTTAATGACATTTTGAGAATAATTAAAATTATAAATCTTTAATTTGCCAGTTTACCAAAATATTACATATTATAAGTGATCCCATGTTGATACTATTGTTGGTTAATGTATATTTACTAGATTTATCATTATTATTTTATTTTGAAGTTTTGTGAATTTATTACTGTATTGACTATTTTAAATAAAAATGTAATTTATGATATCAAGTATGAAATTATTAAAATCTCTATAATATGGTGTATCTATCTTTTTTAGGGACACTTTACATTAGGAGAAGAAGTCAACTTCTCCGAGAAAAATCTAAACAAGATGTAAGTTTTAATATAAATAGTATAGATTTTAATACAAACTTAAAAAGTACTCATCTATTTTTTTTTTTAAGGATATGATTCCAGGTATGAGAAGAAAGTATTTACGCATTAGGTCAGCAATTTTACAAAACAGATATAATGTAAATTTTGATATGCAGTCCAACAGTGCTTGCAGCCAAAGTACTAGTTTGGTAAATACACAAATATAAATATGATTTTATTGGGTTCACAAAGAAATGTAATATAACACTTTTTTTCTAAAACTTCTCCAAGGCTATTTTATTATAACAATCAATGATCTTGAACAATACATCTCGAAGGTGTACATAAATATTAAATAAATAAATATTTTTGGTAGACACACACAAAACATGTTTGGGTTATCACTCCCAGTGAAGAGGCCTCAGTCTTAGTCTAATATTTTGTACTAAGTCATATGGTCTTTGTCATTTGAGACACCTGTTTAAATTATTATATAGTTTTAATTTTTAACAGATGAGTTTAAATAAAGACAGACAATTAGAAATTGATGTGTTTCCTCGAAAGTATGATTTTTTATCATCACCTATTCCAACCACCCATGCTCAAGCTTCCAAAGCTATTGTTGGAAATAGTACCATGGAAGAAAATTATGCATTTAATAATGTTCACCACATCTACGATCAAGTACATATCCTATTTTTCTTTTTTTTTTTTCTTTTAGTTATTTTCTTGTGTGTTTTAGCATTCAGATGCGGTAACAATGTTGAAGTTTGCTAATAATGATAAATCAAAATTATGTTGTGCGTCAAATGATGGAACTCTTAGCATTTGTGATGTTTTGACATCACCGCCATGTGTAAAAGCTATACTAAGATGTCATACGGGCCCAGTGACAGGTATTACATATATTATTATGTACTATTATTATGATATTGAAAAATAAGATAAATTGAAGGCAGTTTTAGGAAGAGTTTTCTTTGTAGGATTAATGTCAAATAAAATAGGTTTTAAATAGGGAACAAAACACGGTCATGGAAGAGAAGGGGTTAATAAGTTTAAAACCCTTTTTCTGAAATATTAAATTAACAAAACCCAAAATTAAAATATACCAAAAAATGAGTGATCCATTCAAATACTTAAAATTAGAAAATATCCTGAGGAAGATATTATGTATTCAGTTTCCCAAAAAATTAGTCGAGTGCATCGAGATGCTTTATCTACAAACAAGGAGAAGTGATGTACTATAGAAATTACAGAAGAATGTTTGTATAGCATACAAAGTATTATTGAAATACTACTAATTAAATCTTGTAGTGTCATTTCAGTTTTCAATTAAGGGGGGCAAAAGTATTGATCAGGGCAAAAATATGCGCAACCAAATATCTACTTACTCTTTTATTAAATTATCATTCCCACCCACCTCACATATTTAATGATTGAAATATTTTTTCTCTAACCGTTGCAAAACAATTGTCCATGCAAAATAAAACTCAGTTAACTAATATTATTTTAAGTTTTAATAATATGTTATTTTTTATTACTTGTTTACTGGTTCAAGTTTTTCAAAATATTAAAAACTGTTTGCCATCTTGAACTATTTGAACTAACTTAATTTGTTTGGCCACATCACTCATTTCTTTTTTTTGTCCAAAAATAATGGAAATATGAATTAAAAAATTGAATTTTAATATACTCAACTAAATTTGACACGATAGAGAATAGTAAAACGTACATAACTGTTAAAAAGTTAACTGAAGATGCAGTAAAACCATTCACTTTTTGATTTTTTTGTCTTTATATAGTTACTATAACAATTTTAAGATTTGAGAAAGATTTTTTTCTCTGGACCTTATATTATTTTTATTTTAATCTTCCAGACTCCAATAGAAATTAATTGTTGACCCATGAGTTACACAATCAACCAGATATAGTGGTAATAATGAAAAGCAAATGTATTGAATACATAGGCCAGGTATATGTTGTAGTTGTGGCAAAGGGTATATTAGGGTCTATATTAATATATATATTCATGAAAACTTCAAACTATGCGTATATTCAATATAAATTAGTAAAAGTTAATATATTTTAGGTTGTGATTGGTCCGCTTCAGATGAATTAATTGCTAGCTGTTCAACTGATGCAACTATTTGCTTTTGGGATGCAATTCGACATTGTTGTCTAAGATGTGTCAGTGATCCTTTTTATTCATCTGTTTTGGTCTGTTTATTTAATCCTATCAACAACAATATTCTCATTGTATGGTATTTATATTTTTGTTGCTAGCTATGTATTATGTAGTATAATTTAATTTATAATTGTAGACTGGCAACAAGGCTGGATTTGTGTGTGTATTAAATGTATCAACAGGGATGTACCCAAAAGGCGGAAAGCACAAAATTGGTGGTCAAATTTTATCCCTTGCAGTTAATAGTAGTGGACAAATAATATGGGTTGGAAATGACAAGGTAATAATATTCATATAACTGTTTAATTAAGTAACCAAAAATAATAATGTAAATGTACATATAGAGTGAAATTGTATCTCTCAAATTAAACAGCAGTGATAGTATTCTTACTAAGTGCCATCGAATTATAACATCACCAAATCGTGGTGCAATCACTTGTTTAAGCTGGAGATCATGGATTAGCCGAGAAGCCAGAGATCCAATGTTGTTAGCAAATTGTGCAAATAATATATTATGTCTTTACAAGTTCGTTGCATAAAATGAATTTAAAATAAATAACCAAAGTATAATATTGTTATTGTACTTTAGGGTTTCTGAAAATGATGGAGGCTCATTATATTTAAAAAAGAAGTTTTTAGTTCATCACGCTCGCAGTAATCACTTGTTACGTTCAACATTTTGTCCTATTATGTCATTTAGACAGGGCGCTTGTGTTGGTATGTGTTAAGTTTAGTTTATTATATTATCATTTATCAGAAATGTGTAATTATAAATATAATTTAACGTTTTCATTTTACAGTTACTAGCAGTGAAGATTCTTGCGTTTATTTTGTAGATGTAGAAAGGGAATCTAATTATGCAGTCAACAAATTGCAAGGGCATGCTTGTGTCACTTTGGGTGTTACTTTTAACTATGATGAGACTATACTAGCAACAAGTGATGTGCAAGGGATAATTATTATTTGGTCTCGACAATGTCAAAAGCAACAACAACCTTTATAATTACTAATTGTTATTTAAAATTCATAATATTGAAACTAACTGATATAATACTGATAAAGTTCATAACTAATAATAACAGTATTTTTGTAAAATATAGTTCTTATTTTCTTCAGTCTTCCTCCATTTCTCTTCCCTACTACATTCACTTGTATAAGCCACTTTAATTGCCTCTGAGACTTTTAATAGTTGGTAAAAATACCTTATAAAAATGTGCATGGAAGTTCCTGGGCAAAGTAAAAAAAATTAGCTGTTATTTAGTTTATTTTTTTGTTGAACGGATGGCACCTCTATTGTATTTTTGACATCCAGATTTCCTGCTTTTCTAGTAGATTTTCTCAAATGTTCTTTCATATAAACCTTATTTTGACAATAATGACGAGCAAAACAAAGACAGAAACAATTAAATCCATCAAGCTGTTTCTGAGATTATCTGTTACAAAGAATCTACTTTCACATTTACATATATATTTAGATTAGTGGGTGAAAATATTATTGCTAATATTATAAAACAATCTACCAATATAATTTTTTTCTAATGATATATCATGATATAATTTATTGTATTATTAAAAAGCGTATAAATATATTATATCATCATACATAGATTTATTTTAACTGCCTATACATTTGTTTTAAATGTACATAATTATTATTTTGTTGAGTGTTTTTTCTACTGGGTATTACTTTGAGTATTTTTTTCTTGTATTATTATCTTTTTTCTTTTGAATATTATTTCAAAGAATATTTTTAGCATGAGCATAAATAGTTTTCCCTTCATTCTGACTACTATTGATTTCAATTCTACACTACCCTTAATAAATAAATTTCACATAAGGGATATCCTTACCATTCTCGTCTCTGCTACAATCATCCTCTGGGCTCTGTTCTGTTTCATGGTCTATTGCCCAACATTACAATACCACATGACTTCTCTTATCACTATTACATCTAACCACATATAATTATATTTCTGATTTTATAAAATATAATGCTAAAAAAATAAAATACCAAAATTATAAATGTTTAAATGTTTAACCTTAACTTTACGAAGACTAAGAACTCAATAATAGTATAATACACAATAATACATATCTCATTTATTCATTCAAATTATTTTTGATATTTTTTTGAAGCATGAACATATTTTAATCACAAATAAGTGTTACATGGTAGAACTTAAGAAATTAAGAAATTTTCTATTTGTGATTCAGTGCATTGGTTAGTGGATACAGATAAACACCTCATATTGGAATACGAGAATATTTTGATGTTAATTGCCAATTGAACAAAACACCATTATTAAAGATCTTAATATACAACCCTGTCTTATGTCATTGTATGTGTGTTTTTATAGTAATTCTGGAACAATAACATGACATTAAAAAAAAAAAACAAAAAAGAAATGTTTCTTATTTTTTAGGTACAAAAATCAACTTTAATTGTTAGAAATGGTAGGTTACAACTATATTTTTAGTGGGTTCTAATAGGGCCTTTTTCCTGAAAAAATTTATAGTGAAATTATCAATTTTGGTTCTCTAGCTTATTAATTACAGTCCTCTAAAGTTGAATAAATACATTAATACTTTTAGTTCAAACAATAAATTGTAATAATTTCATTAACAGAGCTAAATAATTTTTCTGATCTATCTTTTAATGCTCTATCATATATTTCTAAACATTTAAATAGTGAATCTAATGATTAACACCAAAAAATAATAATATTTCTTCAATTTTTGCCTACAAAATAGTTGACAAACATAATTTTTATTTTTACATTCTACCATAAAATAAGTACCATTTAGTTTTATTAATATATTTGTATAATCATTACTTGTTTATTTATTTGCAGTTACTTTGCTTACAGTAGTTAAAATTTGAATACTTTATTGGTTAATAATGGTATTTGATTTATATTATAATAACATTGGAAACCTGTTTTTTACTCAAATTAAAAAAAAAGTTAGGTGCCTAAGATACCTTTTTTTCTGTTTAACAGACAGCTCTGGAGGCTCTGTTTGAGCAATACTTAGCCTACCTAAGACACCTAGATACCTATATACATTATTTAATCAGTATTTATGTAAATATTTGAATTATTTAACATTTTAAAATCATAACTGTTAAACATTATGAATTCAATGAATTACAAAAAATTATTGAGTAGGTACATTCTGGTCTTAACTATTTAGAGTTGGACCAATACTTGAATACTGTCAGTTTTCGGCACTAATCATAATATATTTTTTCTAATCTGCATCATTCCTTAATTTTTGCCAAAATGGTCTCACTTAATTTCATACTGTGTATCAGATCCCATATCTCTCAAACAGTATTCATTATAATTTTTAAATGGTTTATATTTTTGGTTTTTTGGACACTTTGATTAGCCGTGCGGTGTTTTGTGTATAGAGATACACATAAAGCATTAATTTAATGCACTGAGCCAAAGTTGCCTTTATATAGGATTTTGAGTAGGTAGTTGTGCGAAATTCCCCAGCTGTAAAGTGTGCAGAAGGCACAGAAGATACTTTGATGCCTTTGGCTGGTAAGTAGTAAAATATCCGGTCTTCTTTTAAGACTTTGAGAGGAAGGAACCTTAGGCAGTTAGAGGCACATAGTAACAAAATATTGGGAGATAAAATACTTAAATACTTCATTAAATTTTATGAATGCAACCAAATACACTATTCCAAATAGTACTGCTGATCGAAAAATTATAAATTACATTATAAACTACAAGACAAGAACTGTGTATAACAACAGCATTACGAGCGGCGTAACAACATCTTGCAGTTATGTAGTCCGTCTTGATGACAAAATACAATAATCTATATATCTTACTCTACTACCCAGCACTATCGTGCATACGAGTAATCGAGTAGATAATCAAAAAGTGCTCTCTACGTTGTTATACTTGTCACTTTCCATACACTCGTGTTTCTAGTAGTATAAAGTTTATGGTTCAAGGGCATGCATGGTAGATATTAATCGGTATGACCAACTTCACGAGTCATAGTTATAATATTAATACTAATATAGTACTAGCTTATATCTACAATAAGATTAATCATACAATCATAAAATACATGAATAAGTACAAAGTCGTCTAAGTTCAACCATAAATATTTTGATGAGCGATAATAAAAGAGATTAAGTAATTAATAATACAACAAAAACTAAAGTATTAACAATACTGCAATTGTTGTAATTATTTTAGAAAAATCAATACACAACCATAGAATAGATGAGACTACAAGATTAAAAAATATGTAACAACCACAAAATTAATAGGTATCTTGAATTCCAGACAAAAAGTCAGCTTTGAAAAAAGTTGAACAAAAAGTCTGGACTCATTTTTTTACTGTTAGAAAAATATTCCAAAAATACAAAATGCAACAAATTTCAATATCTGGCTCTCAACTCAATTACGCTTCATGTATAAATAAAAACAAAGAGATACTTCTTACGTACATTTTTATTTCATTAAAAATGAACACACAAAAACTTTTAATAAAAACACTATACTTTGAGAGAGCTATGTAATATCAGGCAATACTACTGCAGTGACATTGCTTGTAAAATTCGGTCACTGAACTATGTCTTACCATCTTGAAGCAGTTAATACAACTAATATCAATTCATTTGTAAGTTACTTTAAATTGGTTAGTAAATATATGTATTGTAATAAATCGTTAAATTTTAAATTTTCCATTGATATAACTAAATCAATTAAATCATATACGTTTTAAGGGGATAAGACGTATAGGCAATCGACAACTCATTTTTTTAGATGTGTACTGGTGAACAAAGGTCTCCAATCTTAGTGAAAGAACTCAGTACAATAAGTATTAAGTATACCTTGTAAAACTTTTGGAGTGTGAAAATAATATAATTATTAATTCCTGTCACATTTTTATCATTTTATCATTTTTTTTTTCAAATTTTTTCTATGTATAATTAATAATTATATCCACATGATGCTAAAAAAAATAGTGAAAGTATTTATTATTTGTGTATGGTTGATAGTTACAATTCTATAAGACAATTCCTATTATTTAATATTTTATAACTAAATATACTTTACACAAAAATATTTTCACAATTTGTTTATAAATTCTACAATATTGAATATAATACCATACACTTAACTTTACTGATTCAAAGTGTATCAGTACATTCCTGTTATTGTGATTAGGTACCTACTAAAATATTATATCATTATATCAATGTATATTATTATTGCAATAAGAAATAACTAATAAATAATTTAAAAATTAAATATCAGGTAAAATGTACCAATGGTACCTAAGTAAAGTTATATAAACCTTTTCAATGTAATATATTATAAATTGATTAATGCCTATGTACGATTTATGGTCTGAACTCTGAATTCATGATGTTAATTTAAACAAATAAACAAATTATGTTAAACAAATTTCACTTCGGTCTTTCAAATCGTTTTACATACTACATTACTACAGAGTTATTTTTAACTAGATTTTCATTTAGCAGATTAGATTTCCAAAACCGGGGAACGGGTTTTGTTGTTTGTGGTCTTGTAAGATTCACTTTGCCTAGGAGAAATGCACTGAAGATTTCAGAACCTTATCTTCAATTGTTAATTCACAACAAGGCTATAAAGCTGAAAAACAACAAAGAATGTCAAATTAAATGTGTTTTGATTTTTTTAAAGCTAACAAGACCCCAAACAAAAAAATTTGGTCTCCGGTTTTGGAGATCTATCTCACTAAATGAAAATGATTTTTTTTTGTGGGACGGTTCATGCCAACGTTTTTCTGGATTCAGATTGTTATACCGCTTGGGTGTAAATATGAAAAAAAATTCATGTTAGCTACTCTTTTCGTTTTCAAGTTCAATAAATAAAACAAGCAAAATTACTTTAATACCTCTTAAGTTCAAACCAGTTACATTCAACCTGCTATTCTGTGCTGCTATATTCTACTATAATCTAATATCTTCTCAATAAATTAATTGGCAGTAAATAATTTTCTTTAAGTACAATTTTGGTTTAATCACATTGTAATAAAACACATATATTATATATATAACATACTGTTAATAAATTTCTAAAAATTAAAATTCAAGAAAATT